TAGCAGACATGAGCAAATTAATTTTGCTTATGCAAGGCAGCAAAGCAAAGCAGAAGCATTGTGCATCTCCGGGCACGGCAGGCATCCCAAGGACTGCGGGAGCCATATGTCTGCATGAGTGTTTTCCTTTTGCAGCGTGTTTTGTCTTTGTTTTGAGGTCAAAACAGGGCAGTATGCAGCTATTTGCAAACATGACAGTAACCCTGATATGATGTCAAATGGTTGAAGAGCCCCAATCACAGGAGAACCAATAAAAACTTCTGTCCTGTGTAAAAAGAGGTTCTGGGAATTCATAGCCTTGCGACCAACAGCCGCTAGCTGCAATAGATTCTCCTCTTCCTCCTCTTGCATCTTCCTCCTGATTTATGGGACAAGAAAAGGGGGGTCAAAGGAGACCCGGGCCCAGCTTGGTAGGTGTCTCTTCCCCCTGCTCAAGGGGGCTGCTGTGGGGAAGTGTCCTATCAGCTGCCCACCCACAGCAACAGAAGGAATACTTCCCCAACCGGGGCTTCTCCTGCCTTGCCTGGGACTGGAGCCTTCCCGCCCACCCTGAGTTGGTGTATCAGCCAAGAGGTTGCACCTGATGTCGGTAGGAGGAGGTGGGGCTGGGAAGGCAGGTGGGTGTTGGAAAAGGGGCTGGGCTTGTCCGTCAGGAAACCAAGTTCCAGCTGGGAGAGAGACGCCAGTTAGCAGGCCGAAGCAGACCGCTCTAAGGCTCAGACGGGCGTACCTGGTGGGTCGCCCATCTGAGTCCCTAGACGGTGCGCGACGGGCAGGCGCCTCCGTGCCAGGATGAGGACCAACCGAAGGGACAGTGGGGACGGCACGGCCGTGCGGTTTCAGGCAAGTGTTCGCGCGCGCGTCCCGAGCGGGCAATTCCCTGCGGGCAAGAAGTGTGCTCGTCTCTGAGGCATTGCAGCCGCGGTTGGATCGTGGGAAAGCACGCGAGCCATCCCAGCTCTCTGCACATGCATTGGGCTGCAAGCCCCATTAGCCCCAGCTGGCTTGCTCCAGGGAGCCATGGAGGCTGTAATCCGGCACAGGTTAGAGAAAGCTGCTCTCATCCGTATGCACGCGCAGGAGGGAGCAGGTAGTGGGGGAGCACTCTACACATGCCGAGAGGTGCCCTTTCCTTCCTCAACTTCTGGGTGAAAATGCTGGGCTCTGTGAGGGGCTTGGGGCACCTTTTTATACCTTCACCTTAGGCTGGAGCCAGAAGACTCGAAGATGATGAGTAGATCTTGGAGCATGTGCTGAGAGCTATACTGTGCAATAAACTTGGACAGCTTGGGGGGGGGGGTTGTTCTGAGCGTTTGAGAAACGCGTATGGAGGAGTTGAGAGGGAGACATTTTCTTGGAATCCCATAGAAGTGCGTTTATCTGAATTATGCTATTTGCTTTCCCGTTGTGTTTGTGTGCGTGCATTTTCTGTGGTGTTTTCCTTAGGACTGCTCCCTTTGGAGGAAGAGTCTGGAGTAAGCAATTTAACTCAAGGTATTTTCCAATCCATTCTGAGTGAGGAAAAAAGCTTCCCCAAACTTCTGGCTTTCCAGCTGGAAATTCTACATTTTTAAAAGAATTTTCTGTCTTGGAGATGAAAGTTGTATGAGTTTTTCCCCTGAACTTGCTTAGGTTTGCACTCTGAATTACTGAAGCCCCATTTTCTCAATTATTTCTTAATTATCTAATGTCTTAATTAGTTCAGCCCTACTTCTCTTAAATTTTCACTCCTCTGGATCACAGGTGTTTTTGGAACGATTAACTCCTCCTCCCTTCACAGCAGCAAAAAGGCTGACATTCAACCGGTGCATTTGCTGGCTCGGCTGTGCGGTTTGTAGGGGGAGCACTAACGTTTGGGGGCGCTGCAGCGACAGCTGTTGCAAGTGGCCCCCGAATGTCGGGCCTGGATCCGCGTTTCTCGTTCTGGGCATTGCTTCGCAGTCTCCCGGCCGGTGGGGCTACTCTGGTGCGCAAGTAATTCGCAGAATTGCTCTTGCTTCAGCTGTTCCCCCCAGGAAGGCTGGCCGCGCATGATGGTGCAAAGCCCAAGGATGGCACAAGCCTGGGGATGATGGGTTCTGTGGTGATGCCTGTCCAGAAAGCAGCCGGTTTCGGGAAATGTGATGGTAGGATGCACATTTTACTGTGAAGTCTGTTCTCCCTGACGGCAGGTCGAGGTTTTTGTTCTCGTACCCATCCCGTTAAAGAGGCATTTTTGATCCAGACTCTGGCAATTTCTCTTGTCTTTGGAAACTGGGGTGCGGGGGAGAGGGATTTGGTCAAGAGGTGGGTGCATGCATGTTTTTCTCTTCTGGGCTGCTCCACAGGTTCAGTCTTCCTCTCCGCTTTCTCCACACACCCTCCCTGACACCCCCAATTTTCCAGCAACTCCCTGACCTAATTTTTAATGCAGGATTTCTGGAATGCTCTCCCTGCCTGCCAGGGAAGGGTTATTCCTCCGTGTTTTCTTTTAAAGAAAGGGGTTTTCAACCGAGAAATGCTGATCGGCTTACGAAAATGTTTCCATGGCCAGTAATTCTTCTCACTGTAGGATTAGGGGGTTTGATCATCTCGGATGCTCAGCCGAGGCGAGTAAGTTTCCTTATGGTAACGGGCGCAAGCGGGCACTTTGCTTCCACTGAACACAAGCGGGTTTTGGCTTGCATGGTACACACAACTGGTCTCACTGGGCTGCATCAAACGTAACGGTGCTTAGTTGGACACGCTAGCCGCTGCGGGCGGACAAAGCTTTGCTGGCACCCGTCTCACTTTCGAAATTGCGCTTTTCATCCACCTGGAAGCGGCTCTGGAGTTTGTCACACTTGCGGCTTGAAGCGAACGCTGGTCCTGGCCTGAGGCGCGGCGGCGGCGGCGGCGCGCGGGCGGGTGGGGGGGCGCAACTTGGTGTGATTTGAACTTGCAGATCTCGGTGGAAAATGTCGAGCGGATGTGTTGGTGGCGTGGAAAGGGCAAGTCTTCTTAGGCATGGTAAGGAAAGGAATCGGAAAGAGGGCCACCTAAGTGCCAAGAGCACCCGTGGAGAATTGCAAATAGTCCCGGTTCCCGGTTTCTTAAGAGGATGTTGCAGAGTTGGAAAAGGGGCCTGGGAGGGCAGCGGTCCGGGCTGGAGAGCTTCAGGTGGCAACCTCTAGGGCTGGTTCAGGAAAATGGTGCGTAAGGGCAACACGAGGGAGGTGCGCAGAATAGGGCACCGGGTGGAGAGAGCAACTCTGACCCAAACGTGGTCCGTTTGGGGCAGGATCACAGGCCGGGCAGCTCCTAGTCAGACTATGGAACTCGCTTCCATACGAAGTGACAGCCACCAACTTGAGTGACTTTAAAAGGAGGTAGAGCATATTCAAAGAGGAGAAATCTATCTGTGGCTACTGCCCTTCATGACTGTGCTCCCTCCGGAGTTAGCGGCAGTGTAGTGTACTCAGGTGCGCCAGAGGTGGGAAGCAGGGGCTTGCTTGTGCAAGCCTGGTTGCCCGCCCGCTGCAGGGCGCTGGACCCCCTCTTTGATCCAACAGCAAGACTTGTTTTCCGCAGTTTGCATTTGAAAGGGGAGGGGGCTATTGCAACTTCACTTCCAGAGGTGCTCACTTTTCAAAGGTGTGGAGGGGGAGGGCAAAAGAAAAACTGTGGGTTCACTTTCAGTTTTTGCAACTTGGAATTCAGTCTTTACAAGAAGAATCTGCAGATTCAGAGTTGGGGTGCACAACACAACCTATGTTTGGGGAACTGCCCTCCAGGTGATGGGTTACCATATTTGCAAATCAGCATCTGTGCAAAGGACTTACCTGTATGAAATTACACAAGTGTATACATATTTGGATCTTTTGCCAAGTCATGGTTATTTTAAAAACTCTCGTATGTGGGAGTGGGGGTTATTTGCACAATTTCATTGGTTTGCACAGGCACAATCACAAGTGAACAAACTGTTCAGAATAAAAAAGCAAATAATGGGATGACAGATGCCTGCCAATCGATGAAACAGCAACTGACAGATTTTCATTTAATTAATTTAATTAAAACATTTCTATGCCGTCCTATGCAAGGAGCCTCAGAACGGTTTACCAAGATAAAATAACCATATAAAATACCTAATAAAATGATACAAAACTACAATTCATAACTGAAAAAAGGGGAAAAAAAAACCCATGGTATAAAATTGATGTTACTATTAAACAGCATCCCTAGGTAACCGGCTTGAGGGGTGCTCAATTCAGCCCTCTCCAAGATGGACTGAACCCTCTAGTGTACAAGCTCCAGAGCTGGATTTTTATTTTAAGAAAAAACTAAACGTTTCACCTCTTGCCCTGCCTCTCCATAGGAGGCCTGGGGCTGGCAAGGGAACCGTGTGCTTAGCAAACTCTGCCCAGAAGTTCAGCTCGTCCCACGGGTGAGTTGTTTCCATCAAAGTGCTGTCTAAAGACAGACAAACCTCTTGGACAGCTGGGTAAGGAACAATGCTTTGCTCCTTCTCTGGACACTGTGAGGGCAGCCACAAACAAGGTTTATTCCAAACCACTAATAACTGTTTTGGCTAACAAAGAAAACACGTTTGAACCACCCCGCCGTTTGGGGACAGTGAAGCGGACCACAAGCGTGGGGGAAACGGGTGGCAAGGAGTCTGTGAAGTGCCTTGTCCATCGCAGCTTTTCTCTGGCACCTTTCAGGAACGCTTTCTGTGGTGTTCCCTGCTGACAAGCCTCTTTGGGTGCTGCTGTTCAGCACCACGGAGAGCTCCCCCTATGCCCAACATGGAAGCTGCTATGGCTAAGGTGCCTCGCCGACGACGCTATTTCCGCAAAAAGGTGATGGGGCACTTGAGGGAGGGGGCTTAGGGTGATGGGAAACCAAGGCGAAGGCGGGCCATACTGAGCTCATTTGTGGGGGGGGGGGGGGCTGCCCACTTTGTGTGAACACGATGTGTATGCTTGTGTGTGCAAAGATCTGAGGCCATTCCACAATTTTTCCTTCCCTTTTAGGTTCCAGACATGGAGGAAATAGAAATTTGGGAGCAGTACACAGTCACTCTGAATCGCGTAAGTGGCATTTAGATTTCCAGTGTGTGAATTCACGATGAACAACATTCTTTATCAGGGTGCTCAAAACAATTTCCTTTAGACTTGCTTATTGATGGAATTATTGCTTTCGTTTGTCTATCTATTCTATCTGTCTTTCAATGTATATCCTGCCTTTTCCTGCAAAGGGCTCAAGGCAGCTTACATCATTCTCCTCCTCCAACTTCTCCCCACAACAACAACGCTGTGAGGTAGGTTGGGCTGAGCGTCTGCGACTGGCCCAAAGCCACCCAGTGGGCTCCATGGCCAAGTGGGAACTTGAACCCGGATCCTCTGAGTCCCAGTCCCATGCTCTAACCACTACACTGCACTGTCTCTTTGCAGAGTTACTGGAATTCGTTTGTCTCTCCAATGTTCTCTGTTATGTTTTATGAATGATGACAAATATTAGCAGAAAACATGAGCATGTTCCTCTTTTCACAGGATCCCCGTAAGGGGTTCGGCATTGCCATTTCAGGAGGCCGAGATCGCCCTAATGCTGTTGATGAAGACACTTCAATTTTTATTTCCGATGTGGTGTCAGGTGGTCCCGCGGATGGCCGCCTCCAGTAAGTGACATTGAGAAACCCAGCTGTATGGGGCCATCTCCATGACAGGAAGACCTAGATGGTTGCAGCACAAACATTCTGAGATGTCGTAGCAAGTTAGGTGAAGGATAGCCTCATAATAAAAATAATAATTTTGGGGGTGAGGCTTATTTCAGCTGGCTTCTTCCTCATGAGGACCAGGATCTTAACTGTGGTGGCCCTACAGTTTCATATCCCACTGCAGGTAAGGCCAAAGTGAGCTAGATGGATCAAGGACCTCCCTCTCTCTTTAAGGCCAGTTCTGATATTCCTATTTAAACGGGGCTGTTGTTCAGAACCATGAGGGCTAGAACCTTAGCTGAGTTTTAGAGAAGAATGCTGTCATGTTGCTGCAGTGTTTGCAAGTGGCCCCAAGTTCAATCCCTGATTCCCCCTTTCCTTTTTACCTTCATGCAGTGTGCGTGACAAGATTGTTATGGTCAATGGCCATTCCATGGAAAATGTGTCCTCCTCGTTTGCTATTCAGACCCTGAGAACCTGTGGAAATCAAGTTAATATTGTGAGTGCAGACAAAGGGAAGGGGTGCTTTTTTGGGGGTGAGCAGGCTCCCCATCCCCCAGTGCTACTCTTTTGCTTCTTCACAAACCCTTGGAAGAAGCCAGCCCTTTCCAAAAATGGCGCAGAGGTTCTGCCAGCCAAGTAACACCTCAAAACCAGCTAACTTTCCCCTTCAAGCACATGCTTCTATTAATCAGAAATACATATTTTTACAAAGGGGACCCATTAAAAGAAACGCTGTCCCTTTCCTCAAGCATCTCTCCCCCTCAACAGCAGGCAAGGCGTTAGGCTGGTGTCCTGAAATGTACCCAAATATTCCAACTTCTCTTTTGGGGGGATATAGGTCAGGCTGCCTCCCTGAACCACCAAACTGATCAGAGCAGGCCTATCAGTACATTTCAGCAGTTCATGTTTCATCCCCCTCGCTTATCTCTCCAGATCAACAGTGGGGGCAGTGTGGCCTAGCGGTGAGGGTATTGAACAGGGACTTTGGGCATGCATCTTCTTCTAGATTTTTTGATGCGCTGCTTTTCCCTCCCCACAGACAATAAAAAGACCTCGGAAAGTGCAGCTTCCAATCACCAAATTTGGAATTGCCAGAAACCCGCCTCGCCCTGGTCAGAGCTCGGTGGAAAGCCGTGAGGATGAGTTGGAGGACAATTTCCGTGCCCCTGCGGCGCGTGAGTCGCCACGCAGAGCCAGTGGCCGCCGCCGCAGCCGGAGTACACGGAATCACAACCGGGGTTATGAGGGGGATTCATCCAGTGAAAGGAGCTCAGGCCGTGTCCGCGGGGAGGCAGACGTCCACCGCAGGCCTCCCACAAGGAACAGGAGACGTAGCCGGCCCCGCGAAAGTGTTAGCAGCTGCTCCAGCCAGGGGGCGAGCGCCAGTGGGCTGACGCTGATGTCCGGGTTCAAGAGGCTGCCGCAGCAGCACGTCCCCTCGAAGCCGATCTGCTCGGTCCTGAGGAAGAACATGGAGAACCAAGGTAGAGCTGAATCTTCCTTGCCCTTCTTGGGGCAGATTCCTTCCCTTCCTGTGCCCCCTTTCTCCAGCCTGAGCTCCCCCTCCACAAATCTGGCAAAGGCCTCCCCAGAAATCGGCCACTGTGCAAGCCGTCTGCAGTGCCATCGCATTGCTTCAGAGGAATAGCGCACTTAACGGATTCCAAACATTAGGTGGCCAAGGAAGAAATATGTCCTTTAGTCCTCTGGGGCTGACCAAGTGACAGCCTCGCCCTCGTCCCCTTCTCAGCCCTCTCCCATTTTGGGTGTCTTCCCAAACATTGGCAGTCCCCCTGCCCCTCTGCCCCTGCTCTACCACAGTGAGAGCTTTCAACAACAATAGACCTGCAATTTGGGTATTTTAGCCCCTACCCTTTTGCCCTCAGCTCTGCCCACCACGGGGAGGTAGCCCCTGAGAAACAGACTTTGCGCCTCGGGCTGGCAGAGGTTCTGCACCCCGTCCAACACCCACTTGGCCGCGCAGGGCCTTTCTTGCACTGGCCCCAAAGCATTGGGCAGGATGGAGTTAGTCAAGCCAAGAGTTCTTGCTTGGGATATGAAGGGCTGAAGAGCAGGCCTCTGGGTTGTGCGGGACACATCACTGTTCTCCAGAGCTTAGCTTACAATTTCTTGTCCCCTTGCAAAAGCTTTCATGTTGAACCTTTTTATACTGATACTTTTTATACTGATAATTTTAATTTTGTATTTGTAAATCAATGTATTTTTTGTATTGTTATATTTAATGGTAATTTATTATGTACTATTGTATTTCAATGTATTTTATCATGTTGTAAGCCGCCCCGAGGTTTCGGCAAGGGGCGGCATAGAAATGTTATAATAATAATAAAATAATAATAATAATAACCTCAAGCAAAGTACCTGCTGACATGTTGGACTCACTGCTTTCTCTCCCCCCACCCCACCCCACCCCCCTGCCTGGAATCAATTGACCGACGCAGAATACGGTTTAAGACTCGGGAGCCTGATCTTCATCAAACATATCACGGAGACGGGACTCGCAGCCAAAGATGCGTCTTTGAGGGAGGGAGACGTTGTACTGAAGGTATGCTGTGGGGCAGAAGCGATGGAGGGAGTGTTTTGGTGTCTTTAGGCTGGGCGACCCACATGTCTCTTGCAGAAGTCCTGCAAAAACAGTAAGAGAGAAAGAAAAGCAGACCTTCCACCAGAATCGCCGGTGTGCAGTAGCGGAAGAAGTGTTGTTAATGTTCAGGCATGGTACCATTCATGACCCCAAGTGTCTGCAGCTGTGCCCTTCTAAGGAGCTTTATGCCAATTCCTGCAGGTGTGCTCACCTTTGCAAGCATGGACTTGCGCACATTTCTAAAATGCACAATTGCACATATCCGTCAGCTATCCAGGCTTAGGACCTGGATATCTGGAGGAGCATCTCCTTTCCTGGGTGCCTGGCAGCCCCCTAAGATCGGGGTTGGAGGTCCTCCAGAGCTGCCCTCAAAGGAGATCAGGAGGGTGGAAACCCAGGTAAGGCCGCCATCACCTCCTTCTGGAAGATGCTCCCCAGAAAGGCATGCCTGGAGCCAACACATTATTCTTTTTGTCGCCAGGCTAAAACCTTTTGATTTTGCCAATATTTTAAGGTTTACATTGCTATAGAAATAATGCTGTGCTTTATTTTGTTTTTACTGTAAAACCATCCTGAGACTACCAGGCAAGAGACACATTTTAAACAAATAAATAAAATATAGGGAAATCCATATTTGTACACTGTGACTTATGGGAGGGAATGTACACTTTTGGGTGCAGAGAATGGGCACTTTTAAAAATGCATGTTTCTTTGCTGAAAATGTGCATATTTTCCTGACTGAAAGAAAATGGAGAAAGAAAAAAAGGACTATAAGACCCTATCTTTGCCCAGCCATTAAAGAAGAAAAAAATCCATCCTTTCCTAGGTGCATTTCAATACCATGAATGATGCATTCCAATTCTTTGCCAATATTTAGTTTTGCATCGAAGCCCTTTAACACTAGCACTGCAAAACTCCAATTTAAAATACAGATAAACATTGTAAATGTTGCCAAAAGCCATTCTTAAAATGCAAGGGGAAAGAAGGCCAGAAAACATTTGAAATATATACCCCCACATTTGTGTAATTTGCTAGCTCCTTCCGGTTTTTTTTAGGATATTAATTAGAAATTGCATGGCTGAAGAGAAGGAAAGCAAATATTTTCAGCTTCCTTTGGCTGCGGGAGAAGACAAAATCAACAAGAAACAGAATGGGGAAAGGAAAGGTCAAAGATCTTTCACCGAGTGGCACCTTTTCGGTGTTTTGACCTACCGTTCCCATCAGCCCCAGCTGGCTTGCCTAGAGCATGGGAAGACGGAACTCTAGTGTGAAGCTTCTGGAGGGAGCCACTCTGGAAAGTCTAATGGGGAATTGGGGTGGATGTGACATCGCCGAGGTATAAATGGGCGAACTGGTGTGAGAGTTCCTTTCTGCACATGGTGGGCATGTCGTGAGCGGAGCCGGCTGGTGCCGGAGGTCAGACTAGATGGCCCGGAAGACCCCTTCTGACTCGCTCTGTTTCTCTGTTGTAGATCAATGATGTGCCCATTGCGAACATGTCTCTGGAGGAAACCAGCCGTCTGATCGAGCAATCGGAGGGCAGACTCACCTTGCATGTCTTGCACAATAAGAACCAGCTGCTGCTCAACATCCCTGATGTTCAAGACAGCGAAAGCGACAGTTCTCCACTGGATGGTGAGTGGAAGGAACCGCAATGGTTTGTCATCATGCAGACACTGCAGAGGTACCTAAACCTTGTCAGGAGAGGACCTGGGAAGACTCTAGGGCAGGTGAGGCACATTCAGGTGGCACTGCCTCAGCGTCCCAAAACTCCACTGCTGTGAAGAGTGCGGGAAATGCAGTGCATTCTTTTCAAAATGAGCAGGTGGTGGTGGTGGTTGTTAGTCACGAAGTCGTGTCCGACCCATCGCAACCCCATGGACAACACTCCTCCAGGCCCTCCTGTCCTCCACCATCCCCGGAGTCCACTCAAGCTCACACCCATTGCTTCAGTGACCCCATCCAGCCACCTCATCCTCTGCCGTCCCCTTCTTCTTTTGCCATCTATTGTTCCCAGCCTTAGGCTCTTCTCCAGGGAGTCCTTCCTTCTCATTAGGTGGCCAAAGTATTCGAGCTTCATCTTCAGGATGTGGCCTTCTAAAGAGCAGTCAGGGTTGCTCTCCTCTAGCACTGACCGGTTTGATCTCCTTGCAGTCCAAGGGACTCGCAGGAGTCTCCTCCAGCACCACAATGGGCAGGTAGCACCCCACAGCCTGCGTACCTGGTGATCCTTTGCACAGCATCTCTGACATTTGCTGATATTTTGTGCTGCACCTTCACATGGAGAACCAGGCTGGCTTCCTTCTGGGAATGGACCGACATCATCCAATCTGTTCTGTCTAGATTTTGCAGTTTTTCAGGTACCTTTCAGTCACCCGTCCACATATTGACGGAATTGGATTTTGCACAAAGATGTTTATGTGCAAATTCACAAGACTCTGCAAATTCCCCCAATGTATGCCTAAAGATTTATTGATTTATTTTGTGCCACCTAACTACTGAAGCACTGCTTGTGGGCATGTATGGTCAGTGTTTTGTTTTGTTTTTTTTAAATTCTACATCAAATTGTGTGAAGTTTAAAAAAAAGGTCTGAAAGACTGCAGAATTTGCGTGACTTCATAAGAGCTTTCTGATTTCCTTCCTTCCTTCCTTCCTTCCTTCCTTCCTTCCTTCCTTCCTTCCTTCCAGCTTGTCCACACAGGTCAACCTTTGTTTATCCGACCTTGCTTTGCAAGGGCAGACTTGAGCCATGGGGAATTTGGAGGGGAAAATTCTTGCTTGGCGGCATCTCCCACCCTACACCCCGCAAGAGTGACTTTTACAAATGCATCTAGAAAACACATTTAGGAAATGCAAGCTTAAATATACCTTATAGCAAAATTTTTGTGCAGAAATACCATAATGAGACTGAACGGTTATACCTGTGCAAACTGGACACACACCATAAACTCTCCATCCCTCAACAAAAAGGTGTAATTGAATTGCATGTTGCTTGCTTGCTTGCTTGCTTGCTTTAAAGTGCCCTTAGGACAATCCAAACTGACACTCCTGTTCTGTTGTTTTCCCCCCGATTAGATATTTCTGATCTTGGGTCAGTCACCTTGCCGGTGCTGCCACGAGCTGTGGTCAGTTCCTATCCCCCTGAATGCTCACCAAGGAGTTCTCTTTCGTAAGTGAATCTTGTGCCTTTGTCTGCAGGCCGTGTTGTCTTTTTCTGGCTGTGATTTTCATTTTGCAGAGGCTTCCCCAACCTGGAGCCTTCTGCAAGTGTGGAAAGGGTGGTCAGCTTCAACAGAATTGTAGCGTCTACAGTGTTTTAGGGTACAACCCCCAGGACCAAATGCCCTCCAAGTTTGGAGGCTTCTATGCACCAAGGGCAGACCACACCCTTATTAAAACTCTCCAAGAATTGCAGGGAATGACCCAGGATTGGATTTTTGAAGGGTTTCCTTTAGTCTTTCATGACTTTCTTTTATCCTCACCCTCCTTGATTGTGGGTTTTCCTGCCTTCCAATTTGATTATTTTGGGGGAGAAGCGTTGCCTTTCCTTGTGGAATTCTGTTGCTCTGATAGCTGGCCACCAATTTGGGGGCTCCAAAGCAGCCTAGAAGAAAGAATAACATTTTGAAAGGGAAAGGGTGACCAGGGTTCTAAAAAATCAAAGGCATGGCAGAATATTGTCTTCCCCTACTCACATTATAACTGGACTGCACTTTCTCCCCCTGGACTAGGAGAAATTCCCACAGGGAACCGGAGCAAGATGAAGAGCCGACTATGGATTTATTCTTTGGTGAGTTCCAAACTCTCCTTTTCCTGAGGTATCATATGACATTCAGGTGATAGGTAAACACTCCTCTTTCCATGGGGTCTCCTATCCAATACAGCTTTCATGATGAGTTTTAAAGGAGCTTCCAGTTCTGAGCTCAACCCCCCACCCCATCATATCATTCCATGGAGCACCATGGATAGCTCCTATAAAGCTCAAAATAAAAGCTGTAATGGATAAGGGACTCCACTGGGCTAGGTGTTAAGACCCCCAGGGAAGATCTCGGGTCTATACTGAATCAAAACTTTTAGCTGCTAAGCAAGTCTTTCAAATCACTGTACTGAGACTTTTAAAATGGTGTTTATGCTATTTTTACTGCCTTTTGCACGCTGTGTTTTCTGAATTCTTGTGTGTCTCCTAGAGAGCTCCACCATTTCACAGTGGAATGGAAAACTGTGTGCGCCTCGCCATCCTTAAGCCATCCAGATTTTTCTTCCGCACACACAAAAAAGACATAGGCTATGGAAATAACTCGCTTTGATTTTGTGGCTTCACTAACACCCACCCCATGTTCCCTTCCAGATGATGAGACCTCTCCCAGGGATCACGGTGATCGCCAGCCTGCTGTCCCCTTCCAGATCACCAATAATTACAGGTAAGGGCCATGGCAGCAGCAAACAGGTATGAGGCGCAGCAGGTGAGACCATGCAGAGAGCAGCAGGTGGCTACACAGCCCTAAGGTGACCCCCCCGCCCCCCGGTTGCTAGATCAGGCCCTGGGGCCCATTGTTCTGTCCGTGAAGTGGCCACAAGGACACCCACAAGCAGGGCAGGGGGCATGGCACCCTGCAGCCCATGTTCCCCAGCAGCTGGGGTTCACTGCCCCAGTACTGCAGGCAGTATGGGGCCCCCGTGGATGGACCACACCTCCTCCATGAATTTGCACGGTCCGCATTTAAAGCCCCCCAAATGGCCATCCGAACACCTTGTGGCGGTGAGTTCCATAGGTTAACTCTCTGATGTGGGGGGAGGCCTGCCCACCATCGTGGGGTGACCCCTTTGAGGTCTCTTATTATGAAAGACAGTCTCTCCCTCCACTTTCCCATTGAACTTTCCTTGCTGTGGCTCCGCTGGCATTCCTACCCCACTTCCTGCACTTTTTCCCCAACTCTGATGTAACCTCATTTTCTGCTCTTGCACTACAGCCCTCTTCCTAAAATTGTGCGTTTCATCAAGGCCAGGAACATCGGCCTCCGTCTGACTGGTGGCAATGAGGTGGGTATATTTGTCGCCAGTGTGCAGGAGGGCAGTCCTGCTGAGATGCAAGGAATCCAGGAAGGTGACCAGATCTTACAGGTAAGCCTGTGTCAGCGGAGGTGGAGGAGGGTGCTGGGTTCAGGAGGGCTCAGAACAGAAATGGGGCAGCTAGGAACACAACTGTTGATTGAGTCTTTTGCGTCGGACAAAAAGTTGGCCTCACCCAACATCCAGTTTCCAAGAGGGGACAGCCAGATGTCTTGGGAAACTCCTCCAGCTGGAATTTAGAGACCTTCACTTTGCTCCTGCTGTTACCTTCGGATGTCTTTGGACTTCCCGCTCCCATCAGCCCAAGCCAGCAGATAAAGAATGATGGGATGCTTTGCTTTCTCATAGGCCCCCTTTCCCCAAGTGTAATTCCTGAAACAGAAGGGGCAGAACTAAAATTGGATGGATGTACAAACAATGTGAAATTCACACATCCCTCTTTTTTATGGATTGTCAGGCAGCTTTTGTTTCCAGCATCTGCTCCTTGACAGATTTGGAGAGAACGTTTCTGTATGTATTTCTGCAACTTAACATTTGCAGAAATGCCCAGGTTTTCCATGAATGACACACATCCCCTGAGAAATGCATGTTTTCATACTAGAGAATATGGGGAAATATACCTTTTGTTTGAGTTGGCAAAAGTTCATCTCTCTCTCTGCCTCTTGGCTATTCTCTCCCTCTGCTCACTTCTGATTAGGTGAATGAGAGACTCTTCCTTAACCTGACTCGGGAGGAGGCTGTTCAATACCTCATGGATCTGAGACCAGGAGAAGAAGTGGAACTTCATACCCAGAACAAGCTGGATGGTAAGTAACTTCCCCGTTGGACGTTTTGCATCCACATCTGTTGCTGTCATCAGAAAGAGCACAGCCCAGATTACCTGGCAAAACAAATGCTTGGGACACATCTGGGAAGACCATGCATGCAAACCTCTCTGAATGCCAGCAAGGCTGAACAGTAGAAGAATATGACTGGGGGTTAGGAGAACCATAGAGTGTCAATCCCTATTAAAAGGGACACACTTTTCATCAGTTTTGCAGGAGCTTATGCTCCCACGAGCTTTTCTGAACTGGCACATGGCTGAAAGCGGCTCGACACCCATGCTTTACGTGCCTTGCCAAATGCCAGCAAGGCTAAGCACTGGAAGAATGCAACTGACAAGAATTGTGGTGGGCACTGCTATAGGTTAAAGTGCTTTTTTCCAGTAATTTAAGCTTTTGGAGAGGCTGGATGATCTCTCCCAAGGCCAGGAAGCAGAGGAGGTAGGCTGAAGGAAGTTCCGCCTGGCGCCGTCGTTATTTGTTTCTCCGTGCCAGGCCAGGACCTTTTTATTTAAACAATATTTTAATAACTTAATATTATTTATTGGTTTTAATTTTTACAGCCAGGGTGAATCCGGATTTTAGTATGTATTATTTATATGCTTATTTATTTATTGTGTTGGAAGCCGTCCCGAGCTCATGCGAATGGGACAGCATACAAAAACTCCAAATAAATAAATAAATAAGGAAGGAGGTGTGAGTCTCATGAATGGCCCCCAGGCTCAAGATCTTCCGACAGGTGATCCTCAAATGCCTCCCTCTCTCTGTTCTCCACAGCATACAGGAAGATAGTCAAGTCCACCAAGGCCGACTCGTTCTACATCCGCACCCACTTTGATTTTGAGAAGGAAACGCCTTCTGGGTTGAGCTTCACCCGTGGTGAGGTCTTCCATGTGGTGGACACCATGTACCGAGGCAAGATGGGCTGCTGGCTGGCCTGGAGGATGGGGAAGGATTTCCAGGAAACTGACAAGGGGATCATCCCAAACAAAAGCAGGTAAGGGGGTGCCTGGGATGTGGCAAAAACACAGAAAGGCTTTGCACCAGACTCTGCGCCCAGAAGACTGAAGAATGTGGGACCAATCATCCAGCACCTTGGTGGGGCATCTAGTTTGAAAAAGCCAAGTTGTATTTTATATTATAAAATTGTATTTATTTATTGCACTTAAATCCTGCCCTTTTTCCCCAAAGAGGAGCTAGAGGCTGCTAACAGAACCCTTTTGCTCCCTTTCTGGTTTATCCTCACAACAACCCTGTGAGGTGGGTTAGGTTGAGAGGCAGGGACTGGCCGAAAGGCCCCCTGTGAGCTTCATGATCAACAGGGAACTCCCAAGCGCCAGTCCAACTTCTTCCCAGGCATCTTCCCATCCAGCTGTGCCATAACCATGAAACCTAGACACCTGAAATTTGGTAGGTATTTGACGGTCATACCAGGCACTGGACTTCAGCCTTTTGTGGATTTTTTTAAAATAAGTTTATTTAAAATTATAATCCTAAAAAACAAAAAGAAAACTACAAACAACATCCATCATCAAAAACATCGAGCCCACTGGGTCAGCCCCCACACCCTCCTTTTTCCATTTATGAAAACTTTAAAAGCATATTTAAATCTATGCGAAGTCCTATTTCTCTAGCCAATACTAAAAAGAGTCCCAAGTTTGATAGAAGTCAGTATCTTCCTTCTCCTCCAATGATAAAGTCAATCTATGCATTTCTGCACAGTCCAGGGTCTTTTTTAGAATCAGCTCGTCGGTGGGTGCTTCCTCACTTTTCCAGTGTTGAGCAAATGCAATCCTCGCCGCAGTGATTACATGCAAAATCAAGTACATTTCTTGTTTACTAGTAGTCTTTTGTCGTTACTGGTTTTTCGGCGCCAGGTAAAGACCTTTTTATTTAAACATCATTTCAATTGTTAAAACATATGATCTGGCCTGGGCAACTTCTTCTTCCTTCTCTTTCTCCTCCTATATTTTTATTTTATACTGATAATTTTAATTTTGTATTTGTAAATCAATGTATTTTTTGTATTTTTATATTTAATGGTAATTTATTATGTACTATTGTATTTCAATGTATTTTATCATGTTGTAAGCCGCCCCGAGGTTTCGGCAAGGGGCGGCATAGAAATGTTATAGTAGTAATAATAATAATAATAATAATAATAATAATAATAATAATAATAATAATTTTTAAAAGCTTGTTGTAGCATCTGCAGCAACCAAGTGACAGAACTGCATTCAGGGACTCTCAAGCTAACCTACCTTACAGGGTTGTTGTGAGGACAAAATGTTGAGGAAAACCTTGCAAGCAGCCCTGAGTAAAGAAGGTGGAGCTAGAAATGTAATGCAATAATATTTCATGTACCTGTTTCTAATACTGGTAATTATTATTGACCAGGTATTTTAATAATGCAAAGACTTTTACTTCGGTTTTAACATCGTGTTGGTATTTTTACCTGCTGCTGCGCCTTTTCCACAACTTAACTGCAGCCACTGTAGTGAGTCTATTGCTGTTTTAGTGGCATTATCGGTGTATTGTTCTTTGTAGTTGTAGGTTGTGTTTTGTTACTGTTTTCTTTTAATTTGGTTAACCGCTCAGACAGCCTTTTGGCTGCTGGACAGCACTAAAGTGTAAAATAATAATAATTATTATTCCACTGCAAATTTTGTAAGGGCAATTGGATAATAATGCTTCTATACTTATGCGGATCTTGTGTTGCATCCACAGGGCAGAACAAATTGCCAGCCAAGAATCGGCCCTCAAATCTTCGCAGGCGGCCTCCACCTCCTCGGGGAACCGGGCTGAGTTCTGGAAGTTTCGGGGCCTGCGTGGGGCCAAGAAAACCCTTTGGAAGAGCAGAGAGGACCTGTCTGTCCTTACCAAACAAGGCCGTTTCCCCCCCTATGAGCGAGTTGTGCTCAAGAAAGGTGCGAAGCCCTTTTGCAAAGCTGGGAGTTGTACTCGGTCTGGGCAGGGCAGTTGTTTTGCATGCAGGATGGATTATTATTTAAGATATCTAGATCACCACCTCCCTCTGAAAGCTCTCGGAGCTGTGCATGACCATGGAAGGCCATAAAGACATGAAGCACTTTTTAAAATGTGAGCAGGCTGAAAGCAGGAAAACACGACATTGACTTTGTTTGGAAGGCTAGTTTTCGAAAGAGGCATCTCTGAACACTTTCGGAAAGCTGAGGCAGCAGCGCTTCCGACACAGATAGACTGCCACTGAAGCAGGAGGTTTTGTCCTGCCATTACGAGAGCAACCACTTGCAGCCTCCCCCCTCTCAATTTATCTAATCCCCATTAAAGCTTCTCCAAGTCCCTGTAGGTTTGTAACCCCATATGCCGCAAGTCACAACTACTTTTTAGTGGTCCTTTCTTCTACATTGCCATATGAAAGAACTAGAAGCTTATGTATATGGCAGGGCCTAGGGAGAAGGATAATGCATAATGGGGGCTTTCAGTTTTTACTCCCTGCACTGGCCCAACCTCCACGTGGACTAGAAACATTGACTTTGCATTTGAAAGGGCAAAATGTTCTCAGGGCCGATCCCAGAGTGGCCTCCAAGACTATCTTTTGCCCCCTGCAGCAACATTCAAGCGTCCTGTGGTGATTCTTGGACCAATTGCTGATATTGCGATGCACAAATTGAATTTTGAAATGCCGGATCAGTTTGAAGTGGCTGGTGAGTCCTCCTTTGGTACTAGAGTTAAGGGTTAAGGTGCTGACTCTCCAGTGGCCTGGGGTTCTAGTGTCGGTCTCCAGGTCTCTCTAGGGGTCCAGATGCCTTTCTATGGCCTCACCACTTTCTCCTGACCCCCAGTTCTTGGGTGGTGTCCTGGCTTTGGGGTTGTTTTCTCCCCTTCCTGAAAGTCTGGAATTTCTCTCCCAAGGGTGAGTTACTGGGATGAAGAGTTTTATGCTAAAATATGCTGGCGATGATCCTACCACCTTCTGCTTTCAGCCCCATATGCCACTGTGCCCCCAAGCACAACTTTGAATGTAATTCAGCCCTCGGGCTGAAAGTGATCCCACATCTCTGGATTGGAGACCTGGGCAGGCCCAATCACTTTCTGGAGGGTCTCAGTTCAGTCACTCACTCTTTGTCTTGATCCTAACCTACCTCGCAGGGCTGTTGTGAGGCCAAAATTATTATTGTTGTTGTTGTTATTATAACATTTCTATGCCGCCCCTTGCTGAAGCCTCGGGGCGGCTTACAACACAATAAAATACATTGAAATACAATAGAACATAATAGATTACCACTAAATACAAAAATACAAAAAATACACTGAGATACAAACATAATAATATAAAATTAAAATTAACAGTATAAAATAAGTAAAAAATAAAAATGGGGTGGGAAAGAGAACCACATACACCATTGCAAGGTCTCTGGAAGATTTGCAGAAAATGAAGTGAACGGAGCAAGTGAAAACACAGCCACAACAAGACCAAGGCGCTGTCTTCAAAAGTCCAGGGACAATTGCTAAGACTTTAGGGTCTGTGGTTGTATTTGTGCACACCTTACACACACCCCTCTTTTTTCAGGGAGTGTCTTCAAAGACGATGGATTGACCAAAGTGATCAAGCTTGAAACAGTTTGGGAAATTGCAAGACAGGTGGGTTCTTTTTTCTTTGGCAGTGCTGAGAACAGGGACAGGATAGAATTGGGACCTTTCCGGTAAAACCTCTGTGTATGCTTGTGTCTTGGCGGGGCTGCCCTCCCTACACTTTCTCTGCCCCCTAAAACAAAGTTTTAGAAATCACGTATTTTAAAGTTTACTGTTTTGTCTTTAAAAGGCCTGCAAAGCAAACAAACTGCCCAAGTATTTTGGCAGCCGCCCATCCGAATTTGGGCCTGCCCCGAATCTGGTGTGGAATCCCATTAGATTCACTTGGAGGTACCCCTTCATGCAGTCATACGAAACCACCCAGTGGGACAGCCCAGGCCAAGCCGGTGTCTTCCTGTTGTGGCGGATTACAGCTCCCAACATCCCCAGCCAGCCCTTGCCCAAAGCGCAGGGAGCAAAAGTCTGCTCGCTTGCTCCTGACCTGGGATCCTGCAGGGGCACTCTAAGCCTTGCATTCCCGATCGTTGCCCATGCTGATGTCCAGCCCAGACTGGAGAAGGCTGCCCAATCTGCTGCCCCACTTCTCTCGGCAGGACAAGCATGCGCTGCTGGACATCACCCCCGTGGCGGTGGAGCGTCTCAGGTACATCCAGTACTTTCCCATCGTGATCTTCTGCGAGCCGGAGAGCCGCCAGGGCGTCAAGGCGATGCGGAAGTGGCTGGCGCCCGAGTCCAAGAAGAGCTCCCGCCGCCTCTTCGCCCAGGCCACCAAGATGCGCAAGTACTGCAGCCATCTCTTCACGGCCACCATCAGCCTGGCCGGCAGCTCCGACAGTTGGTACCAAAGCCTGAAGGAGATCATCTGGACGGAGCAGGGCCAGCTCGTCTGGATGTCGGAAGAGAAGGTGGGCACCTCGTCCCGGGGGGCCTCCAAACCCCACTCGCTTTCCTAGGTCAAACACTCTGAGCAGAGCATGCCTTAAATTTGTTTCATAGAGCTTTCGATTTTTTAACTTTACTTTCCCAGGACCCTTAAGCTAAAAGGTACAATCCTGCACATGAAAAGATCAAAATAACTCCTACAACTCCACTCCAGCAGGGAGAATTCTCAGAGCTGCTGGATTTATTTCTCTCCAAACAGGCATACAGCGATGCCCTAAATCGTTCTCTGGTTTAATCGTATGTTGCTTGGGCTGCCTCATTTGGGTCAGCAGGTGACCCATGCATTTATAAATGCAACCAGAAAATAAATAAAAATAACAGTTCCCTCTTGGGAGCCATTTATTCCGAAGAAACAAAGAGTTCCGCTCTCCGGCTTGCCAAAGCTGCCAAAGGAACCTAGCTTATGAACTCCACTACTCCTCTGCAACTAAATTCTGCCACCTTTTCTCCACAGGTGGATGCCTCGGCAGAACAGGGGCTGAATTTTCTGAGCCTTCCCTCGGCCATCCCTCCTGGCTATCTGACCTGTGAGAGTCACATTAACAGTGACTATGAGGAGACGGATACGGAAGGAGAGCTGTTCACAGATCCGGAGATGGAGGAAGGAAACTGGAATGCATCCCTGATGCGCTCGTCCGAGCCCACTCAGGAAGACCTGTCTGACCGTGGAGCAGCTGCTTTGATCTTTCCCATTGAACTGGTAAGGAGAGGCAGGCAGAGTTGGAAGGGTTCCTAGAGGTCATCTATTCCAGCCCCTGCTCTGAACAAGGCCTGTGGTCCAGGATGCAGTTTCAATAGGGATGCAGAGCAGCTTCAGCCCGAGGGATGAATTCCATTTTGGGAACGCTTTTGAGACCAACACTTTTCTGCAGTTTCTCCCCTCTTCTACAAGCAAAAAACTGCTCTCATAAGGTGTAGGAATGGACAGTTCCGGCTTTACGCTGCAATATGTTAGCACTTGGGGTATCTTGGCTCCCCTCTTTTTGTTTTGGGCCTCACCCACAATTGGCATGCCCCCCTTTCCCTGCCGGCTCCCTCCACAGTCTTTGGAGTTCAGTTCCTATTTTCCCTGTGGTAAGGAATTTTAGAAGTGGATTGATTTCTGTGCGACCCAATAGCCAAAGCATTGTTGGGGCTTATAACTGTGATGGGATTTGTAGTTCAGACTCCCTGGGGGGCCCAAGTGTGTTGAAGCTTCTACATTCAAAGCGGATGTTCCCTTTGTTCAAAAGTTTTGGCAAACGCTATTGATCCACTCATAGCTGGTTTGCCTCAAAGCACTTTCAGCTTTTGGATATGGATGCTGCTAGGGGCAGAGGACTTCTTTTGTTTTCCCTTTCTGCTTATGTTAAACGCTAGAAGTGCCATGTAGGGAAATGTAAGAGTTGCAACTCAGAATACAAACCCCTCATAACATGAAGGATGCGGTGTGTGTTGCGCACACAAATTCCCGAAGTCACACTTGTGTTCAGGAAAGCTGCATTTTTTCAGTCCATGCTTCAAAAAATACATGCTGCAAAAAATGTGTGGTTTTTAAAATGCAGGCTTTAAAAGCAGTAGTATTTGTATGCATTACTCGGAGAGAGAACGGTGCCATACTGAAAATAAATGTATCCAGAATTTTGAATGTTCCCCGTCCAACAAAATGAAAAAGCAGGTTGCAGACAAGGGGATCAACCAAGACCAAGCTTGTACATTCAGAGAATTTTGGCCGTGCATCCCTCAATCTCTCATCAGCTGTGTCTTGGTGGTGCACCTAAGGGTTTGGTTTCTTGTATCTTTTTTAAATTTCTCTCTCTCTCTCTCTTGCTCACATAGCACAATGATGACCAACCAGCCCAAGGAGGAGAGCGGAAGGAAAGCTTCCAGATGATGTGAGCATCCGCCAGTCCCCATCTCAAGGCATCGGGCCGAAATGGGAATGTGGGGTGGGAATTTCACTCCGAGCGCCACATTCCTTGTTGGAGAAGCTCTTGGGCTGCATTTTCATGGTGGGTGGGCCAAAAGCAAAGGAGCAGGGCTGTAGTACCAAAAATGCCACCCTGTTTTAGCTATGTTTTAGCTACCAGCTGTTAAACTTTAGAGAGGCATTTCTCCCAGACTGCTCCAGCCCTTCTAGTTCTGGCTTACGAAGCTGCCCAGGTACTCTCAGCCTCTCCTACCTACTGGGTTGTTGTGTGGATAAAAGGGAGGGGAGACCGCCTTTGTAAAATACCTTGGGTTCTTTGCAAGGGGCAGAAAGGCAGTGTATAAATACAATTTAAGGATATCATAACAAATATTCTTAAGACCTTAGTGGGGCTGGATTACTAGTCCCAGCCCTGAGAATAGGCAGAATATTAATAAGTGACTTTGGTCCAAGGGCTCCGGATTCCTCTCCTTTGCTCTGCTTATTTGTGCTGCAAAGCCCTGGGGGGTGTCAGAAGTAACCGACCCAAAATGTTTCACTCCATTTATGACTCCGTCTTTCTCTTTGGCAGGGAATTCGGGCGCAAAGCTCTGCAGAAGAAATTCAGTCAGGCATATGATTCGGATTCAGACCAAGAGTCCTGCTTTGGTTGGGGTCCTGCCACAGATCTCTAAACTAATTTAAAAAGCACTAACTTCCCAACACTGCTTTCAATGATACTGGTGGTTTCTTCAGAGATAAGAGGAAAAATTCCCAAGGTTATTCCTTCTCTTACCGGGAGAAGGAGAAGAAGCGGAGAAGAGTGATGGGAAGATGTTTTCACGAGTTCACTCCTGCATATATTTGGGTTCAGACCAAGAGTAAAATGATTGATGAGGTCTTGCCATAGATCTGTAAACTAATAAATAAAGCACAATTTCTAGCATTTCATTCAGTGGTACTGCTGCCATTTCTTCCGGGACAGAGAATAACTTCCCAGACTCTGTTTTCTTACCGGGAGGGGGGACAAGAAGCAGAAAAGGGAGCAGAGTGGTGGGGAGCTGTTTTCATAAGCTCAAAGCCCCCCTTTTCCAGGTGTGCCTTCCCTCATTCCTCACCTTGACTCATTTTTTAGCCATCTCACCCCACAGAAGAGAAATACATTCCCATCCACCAGTGCTCAAGTATCCCAGCTGCCCCAGTGCTCAAGTCCCTGGTGGCCCCTCTCCTGTCCTCCCCTCATGGGTAGCTATCCACAAACTCGGGTTTCTTGGGCACCTCCCACAAGGTACATAATCTCCATCTTGCCAACATATTGTCCAGAACTTCATGTATAGCACTTCCTCCCCACTCCCTCCCTCCCCCTCTGCGTTGTCTGAGGCCCATTCCTCCAAATCCACAAACTGGTGAGCTTCAAGTGTTTCTGCCGGCTGACATTCCCAAGTTTTACAACTTGGTGTTTTCCCCGAGCGACACACCTGAAGGTCAACAGTCCCTTTGCATGTTTCTGCAGTGTGGGGAGATACCTTAGCTTGTGGGCTGTTGGATCGTTGGCCACCTGAGTTCTTAATCTGACTTGCAATGTCACATACACACCAGCCTGATGCGGAGTCCCAAAATACACTCCTCGAATTGCTAACTTCACTTTGTTCTGGTGCTTTTTCTGAGAATTCTTGTAATGTTGATGCTGTTTGGCAGGGCCTTTTTTGTCATAGAACGCACCGGAACAGCATTCCAGCACCATTTTTTGATGGATTTTTCCAAGGGATTTTTCCGATTGTGAATCGCCCTGTTGGGCATAGCAGGTCGGCGGCAAAAATCATTAACATAGTGCCTGCGGGCTGCTGGTGTGTCAGCGCTGCTTGTGAGGGCGCTGCTCGGCTCGGGTCGCTGCTCGGCTTGGGATCGGTCGTGTGGTCGCGCGCTGAGTGCTTCCTGCCGGAGGCGACCATTATGTTTATGTGTGTGTAGAGTGACTGGCTACGTGCAAAAGGTAAATAAGTTCCTTATTTCAAAAGAAGTTGGTGAATTGAACATCTTTTTTATTGTAAAAATGTGACCCCAGGAGGTGAGTTCCGGCACTTTTCTTTTTAACGAAAAAAGCACTGCTGTTTGGGGATAACACCACGCCTGTTAGAGGCATCTTTTTAAAGAAAGGGGAAGACTGCATTGATCTGTTGCATCATCTTCATGCACCCCAGATGGTTTGGGCTGGTTCAACCCATCCCCTGACAAAATACAAGATTTTGGTTGTGTAAACCCAGAGGAAGCTTTTTGTGGGGGGAGGGGGCTCCTCCATTCGTGCCAGGGCACAGCTCCCAGGGGCCCTTCATAACGAAGAGTTCCTTTTTATCTTTTAAGATGACAACAGGGTGAAGTTGCAGGAGGAGAATTCACCTCTTGGGCTTTGGCTAGACAAGCATGGAAGAAGCACCCCCAGGTCTCCCATGCCCAAGGATTAATCACAGTGCTTGGTATTTGCAAGCACCTGGGGCATGTCAGGAGTTCCCTTTCCAGCCCCACAACAGCCCTGCACAGTAGGTCATGCCACTGCTTCTATTCCAGAGGGAAAGTCAAAGTCTTATCATTGATATCTTAGGTATTTCCTGTGGCAGAGTCACAAAATCCCGAAGCAGCTTGGCCTAAAACCACTGAGAGTTTCTGACAGGTGGGAGGCCAAGGGGCTGTCATCCTACCACTTGCCTGCAGAAGACAGTGCCTGTGCTTTTATGCCCAAAGTGAGGCAGCGAAGGAAAGAAAACCCCTTTTATTTTTGTGACTTTCAAAAGAATTTCATCCTGGGGCAGAAATGACTTAACAGAAATTTCATTAACAGCAGAAATGATGGGACCTCTTTGCTTCCTGTTGTCTTTTCCAAAGCCAAAGATGAGCTTGTCAACTCAGAGCTGAAATGGGTGGGCTGGCTTTGCAAGGAAGGGCATTTCTGCCCGGCAAGGACCCCTCCCCCCATTTCCAGCAAGATGGCTTCCAGGAACACAGAAGCACAGTGCAGCTGAACCAAAACAAAATGGTATTTATTATTTTTCCTGCTATTGCAAACATCCCTCCGCAGCAGCTAGAATATTCCCCCGGATATTCAAGAGGCAGCAGAACCTTGTATTTCCGAGTAAAGACGCCACACGTTCCAAACCCTCTGAACAGTTTGTGATGCCCTGACACAGAGGTGCCCTCTGGATGTTTGCGCTACAGCTCCCAGCAGCCCCAGCCAGCATGGGCAACGATCAGGGATGATGGAAGTGGTAATCAACCCCCTTTTCAGGGGGCACCAAGTTTTCCTTTATAACTAGCTCTAGCTTAATGCTGCCTCTCCTTCGAGGACCTCTCCCCCTGTGTGGTTTTGGGGCAAATTTTGTTGGTTTTGGACAAACCTTGCACCTGGAGCATTGTTTTAAGCCTCTCGCTGCATGGGAGGAATCTCGGCAGTCTTCCAGCAGCCGACGACTGCTTGGATTATTTTATGTGCACTCCCAGCTCCAGGTCTGGGGCTCTTTGGCAAGACAGGCCCTTGGGGAGGGGGCTTCTCTCAGCCATGCCCCCCGCCTGCCTGCTCTCCCTCTCCATGGCCGGTACAACTCGCTTGCTGGGGAGCAAGGGAACCGCAGCACCTCTGGCCCTGCTCCTCACTCTGCTGTTGTCTGGGTCAGAGTCAGAAACCATGATCAAAGCAGGCTGCAAGAGCAGGGGGTTCTTGAAATCAGTACCCCGTTGAGTCTGGGCCCTTGGCAGCGGCCCACACATGCCGACCTTTGGTGCTGGTGCTGGACTGATAGAGAAGCATGCAGAGATTCAGTTGCCCAGCAGCACAGGGAAAAGATTAGGGGGCACCCAGCCTGCCAGACACCCACCTGCCTGCCCAAGGAACCCTTGTGGGCTCTTCCTCCTCAGCAGGTATAGCTTTTGCACCTGGATCACAGGTTGTCCACAGAGAAAGCCGTTTCTCAGCTAAGGGCCAGCTCTCACATCCTTGGCTGTCCTGATCAGCCCCAAACTTCAGAAGTGGCTTTTGATCTTTATTTGCAAGAAGGGGAGATGTGCCAAAACCCCACTGCCAGGTAGGACAGGAATGCATGGCAGAGGGATGGTCTGCCTAAGCCCACACAAGGTGGCCAGAGCTGTAAAATGACTGTACCACTTCAAAGAGCCGCTCAGGGGTCCCAGTGTTCAGAGGGGCCTTGCTTTGGCTTTTAAAGTAAAAAAAAAAAAAAAACCTGCAGAAACAGCTTGCAAACCCCATAAGGTAATCCCTAAGATTCATACACATCTTCCAAGACTTTTCTTTCTTTTAATGTCAGGCAAGCATAGCTTTCTCCCTGCACTGCTGCCGTCCCCTGAAGTGGTACAGTTTGACCTCCTGCAGGACTCTACCACTGGAAGGGACAAGGGAGGAAAATAATTCTGCAGAACGAGACCGGAAACTGCCTCTCAGTCCAGAAGAACAACATTCTCTGCCCCCTTTGGGGAAGCCAAACCCCGTCCTCAGGGAAGCAAAACAGACGTCCTTCTGCGGTGCAGGCAGGAAAGAACACAAGGCAAGTGCTGAACAGCCACGGCAAGGCTTAGAGAAGCTGGCGCGAAGGCTTGTTCCGGCCGGAAAAGTGCGCCGAACTCCTGAAGATGTTGCAGAGGGGCATCTCAACCGCTCCCCCGTCAGAGGAAGATGGGCTGCTCCTGGCCGGTCAAGAGGCGGTAGGTGGAAGCTGGCATGGTTTTGATGTGGACCTGCAAGGAGGGAGAAAGCAGGGGCTGAAGCGCCTTCAGCGACAAACAGCCCAAGGTTTTCTTCTGCAGCGTGGCTTTCCCAGCACTGGAGAGCGCAGGAACCCAAACGAGCCCGGATGCTGTCTGTCGGCCCCAGAACTGCTCTCTCAAGCTTGTACGCTGCAGTCACTTGTCCGAAAAGGGCAACCTGGAGCAGTGGTCAAAGCTGGGCTTTTCCCAGCCTGCTGCCCTCCAGATCTGTGTCGGGTGGTACCTGAAAGGTGGCAGGTTGGGATAGGATGGATTAAAGCTCGAGAGGAGCTTGTGGGAGGCCCAAACCTGAGTTCCAGTGAGGCACCAAAGTGTCTCAGTTGTACTCTTTTGCCCTGGCCTGCCTCACAAGAACGTTGTGAGGGCAGCAAGGGCGCATAGTCCCCTCTGAGGTCCTTTAGATTTTCAGAACATGTGTAGAAAGTAAAAAGCCTCAACTCAACGGCCTTCTGGGGCATGCAAGAGGAGAAGGCCGTCGTCCACACACCTCGCTGACTGCCTGGGTGAGAATCTGGATGATCTTTTCATGGGACATGGCCACCACGCTCTGCCCGTTGATCTCAATGATGCGGTGGCCCACGCGGATGCCTCCGCGCTCAGCGATCCCGCCACGCATGAGACTGCAGATCTGGAACGGAGACAGGAAACAGGGGCAGCGGGGAACAATCCTATTAGAGCAGCACGTTTCAGGGCACCAGGCAAAGTGCCTCCTACTGGCACACGCACACACATAGTTCTCCCCTCTAAGCACGCAGCTTGGCTGGCTTGCTCGAGCCACCTAAACTACTCACAATGCCATTTTCCACGCAGAATCCCAGGGGGTATTTAGTGTCAGGACGCCGAACAATGGCTGTGGTGACAGGCGGGCAGTGAACCACATTAAGTGTCACCTCGGTCTGATTTTTCAAATCCTGGAAAGACAAGAAGGTTCTGGAAGGAGCTTTGGAAAATCAACCCTTATGTTCCACACACCAGCAAAAAAGAAGACACAAAGCCAAAGCTGCTACTATGTTCTGTCTAGCTCAATATTCCGATTGGTTCTCATTTCCCTGCCTCTTAAGCAAGGAACTTCCCACGTCATGATTTGTGATATTTCATGTTTAAAGTGCAGAAGTTCCAGATTCATCCAGAAAAGGCAGAAGACTCCAAAATTAATTGTCCTATAGCATATGAAAATAGCAGAACATTTAGCAACATGAAGAAACACAAAACCCGATAACACGCAGCTAAAAACACATGTTTAAACAGTTCTTTAAACACCTGGGCAATTTCCCCCCACCTCTGGTACTCCCAAAAACCTCTTGCTTGCTTTCATCGACTAACAATGCACTTTTCTAACAGCTCACAGAAGCAAAGAGGGAAAGGTAACCCCAGAGATCACCAAGGCCTTCCCCTCCACAGCTAGCACACTTCTCCACCTTTGACAACGTGCCCCATGATATTCTGGTGGAGAAACTGGGGAGTTTTGGGATACACCAAAGCACCGTCTGGTGGATTAGGGCAGGGTTGAATGACCGAAAGCAGAGGGTAACCATTAGCGGGGAATCATCGGGATGGCGGCCAGTGACAAGCGGGGCCCCCCAGGGCTCTGTCCTGGGGCCGATCCTGTTTAATCTTTTCATTAATGACATGGAAAAAGGGGTGAACAGTCTGCTGATCAAATTCGCAGATGACACTAAAACTGGGGCAGTGGCCCCAACTGAGGAGCAGGTACTCCGGATCCAGAAGGATCTGGACAGACTATGGAAGTGGGCAGGAGACAACAGGATGGCGTTCAATGTGGATAACTGCAAGGTCTTGCACTTGGGGCACGGGAATGGGTGCCATAAGTACAAGTTGGGGGACAAGTGGCTGGAGAGCAGCACTTGTGAAAGGGACCCTGGGGTGCTGGTTGACTGCAGACTGAATATGAGCCAGCCGTGTGATGCGGTGGCCAAGAGGGCGAACGCCACCCTTGGTTGCATAGCCAGAAGCGTGGCTTCCAGGTCGAGAGAGGGATTACTGCCACTCAACATGACTCTGGTGCACCCGCAACTGGTGTATTGTGTTCAGTTTTGGGCCCCTCATTACAGAAAGGATATAGCCAGGTTAGAGTCAGGGCAGCGAAGGGCCACAAGGTTGGTGGCCAGTTTGCAGGGGAAGCCATATGGGGAGAGACTGAGGGAACTGGGCCTCTTCAGCCTGGAGAAGAGGAGGCTCAGAGGGGATCTGTTGGCGACATGCAGGTATGTGAGGGGGTGTCACACGGAGGTGGGCAGAGACCTGTTCTCCCCTGCAGAGGAAGGCAGGATGCGCTCCAACAGAGCCAAGCTCAGGGAACCAAGGTCCCATTTAGATGCCAGGAAGCACTTCCTGACAGTCAGGACCCTGAAGGTGTGGAATGGGCTTCCCCGGGAGGTCGTTGAAGCCCCATCGGTGAGGGTGTTCAAAGATAGGCTGGACATGCATGGTGGGCATGTCATGAGCAGGGCCGGCTGGAGCCGGGGGTCAGACTAGACGGCCTGGGAGACCCCTTCTGACTCGCTCTGTTTCTGTGTTTCCGCCATCCCCAATAGCTGGCGCACGAGTTCATTGCTGTGGACCTGATTTAGCATTGAACGTGCATGACGCAGATATGGCGGGGGAAGAGGGCACTTCCTCTCTTCCCAAGCAGCAAAACAACATGTGGGGGGTTGCTCTTATCACGGCTGTGATGTCACACACGCCACATTCTCACCCGGATGATGCTCTGGCACGACGCAAGAGGCAGGCCCACCAGGCTGGTCCCGTTGACGGACATGATGCGGTCGCCGATGCTCAGCTTGCCCGACCGCTCAGCCGCCCCCCTGTGCATAAGGTTGGCGATGACCACAGTGGGCAGGATGGAGCCCCAGCCCGACTCGACGATCACCACACCCAAGATCTCCCCCTTTTGCTTGGCGATGGTGACCTACAGGGCGAAACCCCGAAGAATTTACAAACGGTTGGGGAAAGCAAAGAGGCCAGGATCTGTTGAGGAAAGGGCCGCTCCAGCCAATGGGGAGCAATGCTGCTATCTTTCCAGGTTTGCTTATTTTGGTTATGGTGAGCAGAAACAGATTTAAACCAGATTCGCTCACAAAAAAGAGATTCTGTATCCAACCCAGATCATGTTCTCATCCAAGTACAGTAAATCCCTTAAGCCTCTAGTTTTCTTTACTTTGATATTAAAAACCTCTGCAGAATGGACACATGCGTCGATTTCTTCAGCCATGTTGGTGGCATCCGCTTATCTTCAATACAACCCAGGAAACAAGAAATAAATAATAAATATAATTAGGATGGATTAGACCTTTTTTGACCTCATTTCCCATTGTATTTTTGCCGATATTCTTTGCTTGTAGTTGTTTTCCAGCATGGATTGTTGGATTATCTCTTGGAAAATAAATTCATTGAGAAAAGCATTGGTCAGGCAGCGAGAAAGACAATAACCTTGAATTGCCTGGACAATAACCTTGAATTGCACAGTTGCTTCGACCCAAGGCCACATGCAGAGGAAAACCTGCTTTCCCTCCAGCCCCGGTTCCAGGAAATGAGGACACCAATCCAAAACAGCCTTTGCACAGCGGGGACTCCCACCCTCAGAGAGGAGGCCTATCAGTTTCTCTTACTTCCATGCAGTTCTCTTGCTTGGAGAAGTGGGCCAGGTCCCCATTGTACAGTTCCTCCCCGTCCTCCAGGGCGTCGGTGTCGGACTGCCGGGGATTGAGCTGCGTGGGGTCAATGCCGCTGGCACACAGGAAGCGCTGGTACGCCACGCTGAAGGCCTGGCCGATTGCTTGAGCGATCAGCTGGGCCTGTGGGAAGCACAAGGCAAATCAGTGCGTCCAGCTTCACAGCTGGCTGTCCCTTCACAGCTGGGCCCACTGCCATGCCCAGGGGGCATCCGAAGAAGCCAAGCTGTTCCGTCCAAGCTGTCTGATGGCCCCGCCAGGCCTGGAACAGGACTGCACCTGAAGCAGCTGCTCTGGGATTTAAATAACAGGAGGGTCATTTAGAAATAGTTTTTATTTTCCTAGGGCTCCAATATCACCACAGATGGTGACTGCAGCTAAGATATTAAAAGATGCTTGCTTCTTGGGAGAAAAGCTATGGCAAATTTAGGCAGCATACTAAACAGCAGAGACATCACCCTGCCGACAAAAGTGTGTACAGTCAAGGCGATGGTTTTCCCAGTTGCAATGTATGGCTGGGAAAGCTGGACCATAAGGAAGGCTGAGTGCCGAAGGATTGAGGCCTTTGGATTGTGGTGCTGGAGGAGACACCTGTGAGTCCCTTGGACCGCAAGGCGATCAAACCAGTCAGTCCTGGAGGAGATCAACCCTGACTGCTCTTTAGAAGGGCAGATCCTGAAGATGAAACTCAAATACTTTGGCCACCTAATGAGAAGGAGGGACTCCCTGGAGAAGAGCCCGATGCTGGCGACGATGGAGGGCAAAAGAAGAAGGGGGCGGCAGAGGGTGAGGTGGCTGGATGGGGTCCCTGGGGCGGTGGGTGTGGGCTTGGGAGGACTCCGGGGGGTGGTGGAGGGCAGGAAGGCCTGGAGGAGTGCTGTCCATGGGGTCGCGATGGGTCAGACACAACTTTGCGACTAGCAACAGCAACAACATTTAGAAATGCTGTGCAACCAAGTTAAAAATAAATTCCTGTAAGAATGGAAGTGGATGTTTGTACTTGGCTGTCTTTTCATCAGCGCCGAGATGGTGAATCCTGGCTGCCGGAAACTTGGCACGCATGCAGCGGGGTTCCTACCATTGTGTCCCTTGTGGCTATTTGATTTTTAAAATGCATGACTTTTTCAGTGTGCAGGAATGTTTCTCCAAACTCACATCAGAGGAATGAAAAACGTGGCAGATCATTTTATAAAGCTGCTTCTCGGCAGAGGTGTCTGCCCTACGAGGTAGTTTCCGCCGAGCCATCAGTACCACGATGTTCCCGATGTCGGCGATGTAGGAGATGGTCTGGAGCGCGTGGTCCATCATCGCCTCCTGCGGTTGGGGAAGAGAAGCGAGCTCCAACAGCGGTGCAGAAGAGCTCTCAGCCCTCGGGGGCCACACACCATTGGTGGGCGGGGCCAAGGCGAAGGGGGTGGGGCTGTGGACAAAAGTGGGCGGGGCTAAAAGCCCGATCCTTTTAGCTGGAAGCTCTTCCTTGCAGGGATTTAGGAAGCGGGGAAAGCTGTATGGAAACCAGGAAACTGTCCAACCAGGACTGTCTTCAAGGAATAAACTATTTGAAATTCCCCCCTTCTGCAACAGGGGCAGAAAAGAACACACCACCTGTGCAGGGAGAGAACGAATCTGAGGCCGGGGGTGAGGGTGCAGGACAATGCGACAAGTGACCTAGAACCGTTCCCCAAAAGACAGTCACCTGGGAATCCGCTGTCAGGACCTTGATTCTTCGAGTGGAGACGAAGAGATCTACCTCCGTCATGGGCTGGGATTCGCCTTCGGGAGCCTGCAAAGCGAATTGGCATAAGGAGTGGAAGTCAGGCACAAGACAAAGCCCCGAGAGCTATTTCTGGGACTGGAAAGGAAATCTGCATTTCCTCCAGATGGGAATATGACAACAGGCCATGACCTTCCTTGGGCTCAGCTGAAAGTTCAGATCTAATCCAAAACCCTACCCTTCCCAGCAGCTGTCTGTCTGGAGTCAATAAGTAGGGCATGATGGAAATGGAAGGCTCCCATTACGGAAGACTGAAAGATAGACTGCCTTTGAATATGGAGGTTCCATTTAGTTTTCATTCCAAACCTCAGAGCCATGCTGGCTTAGACCAAAGGCTTATCTCACCTGGGTTTCCTCAAAAACCGTGGCTGACCAGGTGCTTCTAGGATTGGGCTGTTTTCAGGTCAAAGCAGTGGGAAGGCAAAGGGCAGGGGAAGTGGGGAACGAGCCGCCCCAAACCCTCAGGGACCCGGGGAGGTGTCCTTTTTGACAAAGCCTTGTGCACTGCTGCCTGGCTCACCTTAATTCTGCCCATGGCCTCTTGTGCCTGGGCCATGCGGACGCTGGTGGGCGGGTTCCTCTCCGAGACCAGCTGTGTGGAGCCGAGGTACTTGGCCCCAAAGATCACCCCATCCAGCAAATCCTCAGGCTCACAGGGGCCTGGAACTGAGCAGAAGGGCTGGTTTATCAACATGGGATTGAAACAAAAAGTGCAGTCTTCTAGTCCTCAAGATGAAGCTAGGTTGCCCTCCCAGCCTACCCTGCTTGGCAGCTTCTCCCCACCCTCAGCTGTAAGCATTCAAATCAACTGCTGCGATGGGGAAAGTCTTTCTACAAAAGCTCTTTTTTTCCAGCTCTGCCTGGAGATGACCTGTTTGGAACCTAGGGCCTTGTGCATGCAAAGCAAGGACTCTTCCACTGATCCCTGGTCTATGCCTTACAAATAAAGCATATCTCTAGTCCTCATGATCCTGAATCAATGTTTGTTGTTAGCAGGAGCCTATTCAATGAAAATGTTTTATTTCAAGGGAACAGTAAATTAGCCGGAGTTGTTTGCTTCTATTATTTGTACCCCCCACCATCTCCTTCTAGGTCAACTTTTAGAGAAACTCATTTGCTACAGGGGCAAGCCTGCAAATTTCTAGCTGGCTTGGACAAACTGGGAATTGGAGGACTTCTCCTCTAGAGCATACAGGATCCTGCTTCCACAGGGACCCCGTCCAAAATGTTGGACTCATGGCCAGCCACCAGACCACGAGAGACGCCTGAAATGCCAGCCACGTAACAGATGACCTCTGGGAGAACATAGCCCTCAGCAGGAGAAAGAGAAAATAAAACCACGTAACCTGGGACCAGACTCCACAAATTTGCTCACCTTCCTTGTAGTCCGGGAAGGACGACAAATCAGCTCCTTTCTGTGATGATAAGAAAGAGGAAGCAAAGCAAAGGTTGGTGTGGTCAGGGCAGAGGAGAAGGTACCCTGAAGGAGGCCTGCAAAAGCTTGGCGAAAGCCCTGGTAAGTTCTCCACCCAAGCTCCCTTTTTGAAGGCCGAGTTGTGCAGGTAACATGATGCCGATCTGGCATTGCCAAGGCAGCCTAAATCCCACAGGTGTGCTCTAAGCTGCTGCTCAGTATCCGCTTACCTTGCTGTTGGACTCAGTGTGTCTTGCTTCCGAGTAGACATATATATAAGATTGGATTGCAAAGAGCAGGGAAGAAGATGAGGTTCAAAAGGTAAGAAGGTGGGGGTTAGAGGGAGCAGAAGGTTCACTTAGAGGAATTAAGCCACGCAGCTTAGAGTCCCAGATTCCCACTGAAGTCCCATCTTCCCCAGCCACTCTCCGTTCTGGCTGGGGCTGATAGCAGCTGCTGTCCAAAGCACCCAGAAGCCACCAAAGTCTGATCGGGCACTGCGTGGAGGCGTTTTTTAAAGATGCCAAGGAGAGCAGCGGGGCTTTTAAAAGCTAGAGGAAAGCACTTTTGGGAGAGCAGGAGCTGTGGAAAAGGGAGAACTCCCTCCAGAAAGCTGCTGCCTCCTTCACCCCGCACCCCACTGCAAGCAGGCATGTAAAAATCGCTCTCCCCCCGCCCCCCCGCAGGCTGTCCTCACCAGCCTTGACCCCTTGGGCCGGAGGGGGCTCCCACCTCTGCCCGGAGCCTTTCCCGTGGGATGCTCACAAGCAAATCGGATCCAGAAGCCGGCTCCTCCTCGCAGCTTGACCCCGGTGCGGCTGCTGCCCAGCCAGGCTCTGGCGAGCTCCGGGCACCCGAAGGAGCCGCTTCTTCCCCGTCGCCCCCGTCCTGCTGAGCCCACCGGCAGTCTGCTTCGTGCTCCGCCGGGGCCGACCCAGGCAAGGAGGGAGCTATGGGCCTCTCTGGCGCCAAGGCCCTCTCTGCAGCCCGCCCGCCCTGGCAGTGGCCGCCAGCAACCATGTCCGAGCAGGCCAGTGGAATCGGGTCGCCCCCGTCTGCCGGTGGGCCCCCCTCACACTGCAGCAGGCTGAGCAGGTCCTCGCAGTCGGCCTCGGCCGAAAGCAGCCGCCGGCCCTTCCGCCAGTGGGCGGGCTGCAGCAGCTGGTGGGAGGCCGCCCCCAGGCCATGCCCCGTGGCAAGATGCAGCAGCTGCCCCCGGCCCCGCACGGGCGCAAGGAGGGGGGCCCTGTCCGCCCCCGAGGCCTGGCTCTCCTCGCTGTCGGAGGCGGGGAGGAGGCCGTCTTCGGAGGTGGGCGAGCTGTCCCGGTCCGAGGGGCTGAGCCGCTGCAGCTGGGCCAGCAGGTCCTGCAGCTGGAGCCTCTCGGCTCCTGGATACTCCTCGCCGGCCTCGGCCTCTTCCAACTCCATGAGCAGCTCCTCCTGATCAGCAGCGGCCGGGCCCTGGGGGGCACTCCTCGCTTCCGCCGCATGGCCTGGACCCCTCGGCGGGCTCTCTCGGCACTGCTGGTCCTCTGGGCTGGCACCCTCCTCCATGGGGTACCTGCTGGGACAGGTCCAAGAGTTAAGCCCCCCCCAGGTCAGCGGGTGGCTGAGACCCTCCTCCAGGCCAGACGGGCAGGGCAGGTGGCTATCAAAGAGAAGAGCTGCCTCAGCCTTCACGGCCGTGGTACCTGCGCTCCGGAGCTTCTCCCGCCAGGCTGCTGGCCTGACACCTCCTGTATGGTCCTGGGGCGGGGCGAGCCTTTTTCTTCCAGGCATCTTACGACGTGTTTGAGAACCTCCGTTTTTACGGCTGGGTTTTAAGTTCTTTGGATGTGTGGGATAGTTTTATTCCTTTCTGCCCATTTTATGTTTAATGCTTGTATTATTTTTAAGCATGGCGTGCCAAAAACACCTCAAACAAGCAAGCAGATGTCGTTTGGAAAAAAGAAAAAAACAATCCAAGGTGAATTGCTACCAAAAGGTTGGGGGTGGGGGGAGCATTTCATGCACAGACAAATTGCTTGCTTGAAAACACCTACTTAAAATATATTTTTTAAAATTTATTTATTCATTTATTTAGAATTTTTGTATGCCGTCCTATTGCCTGAGCCTCGGGATGGCTTACATAACATAAATAAACATAATACAAATAGTGCAAATTAAAATCCAGATCCACCCTGGCTGCAAATTAAAACCTATAGATATTAAAAGTTGTTAAAATGTTGTTTAAATAAAAAGGTCTTAGCCTGGTGGCGAAAAACAAGTAACGACGGTGCCAGGCGGACCTCTCTGGGGAGCGCATTCCATAGGTGGGGCGCCACCGCAGAGAAGGCCCTCCTCCGGGTACTCACCCTCCTAATATCTTTCACGGAGGGCTCCCGGAGAAGGGCCTCTCCCGCCGATCTCAGGGGGCGGGAGGGCATATATGGACGTGGGTGCTCCTTTAGGTATCCAGGTCCCAAGCCATTTATTTAAACTATGGTTAAATATAAGCCAGGATCTGAAGTCAAAGTTTGATCCTGGCGTATCTCCATTAGTTTGTTGGCTGTATCTTTTAAAGGAAGAACATGTGGGGATGGTCTCTTTTTTGGATGGTTGTAGGCTTGGCATTGCACAAGTGAATTCAGAAGCAAAGTGCTGAATTTTTGCTTTGTCCGTGAAGAATGTTTTGAGGAGAAGCTACTTCAGCATTCCTGGAAGTGCAGGAAACTGGAGGAGTTCCTTGCAGAAATGAAACAAAAAACAGGAAGGGGTTTTCTCTCTCTCCTGCTTACCTGGAGACTTCGACATCCACATCTGCATAGCCCGGGACACTGTGATCTTGCGGGTTCAGGAGCCACCTGGGGTCCTCTGCCTGAGCTTGGCTGTCTGAGCTGCAGGGGCTGGATTCCATGTTCGGCAGCATGGGAGTAGCCCGGGGACTGGGTTGCTGCTGGACTACAGGAGAGTCTTTCTGGACTGGCAGCTCCCCCTCAGTGGCCGGGGCCTCCTCTAATTCCATGGTGGGAGATTCGAGGGGCTTGGCGGAAGCGTCAGCCGCGTCTTCTGTGAAATCCATGCTATTCTCGCTCTGCTGGGTTCAGGCAGAAACAACCCTACACTTGAGAAACCAAAAATCAGAGTGAAACATGAGGCCCAAGATGGGGAGATATTTCAGAACATGGAGACTTGCACCCGTTTGCAGAGTTTGGGGTTGATTTAAATAATTTTCAGGTGATTAATCATGCTTGGGGATGCTTTCATGTAGTTTTCTTGTTTTCCTGGCCACCCTGCGCATTGTCTGAAGAAAGATGGGCCTGAAATGTGTCCACTCGTTTATCTAAAATTTTTCTAATCCATTGGACTAAGAGTGTAATCAAAATATAAGTTTGCATTTGGTCCTCCTTGGGTCGTGCTTTTTTTGCTTACTTAAGCAGGTGGCTATTAGTATTCTATTACATTTACATCCCATTTCTTGCAACAAACCATGATACTTTATAAGGTGCTGATCTCCATTTCAGCCTGACAACAACAAGCAAGCCAGGTAGGCCAGGCTGGAAGTCTGTGAAAAGTAACCCAAGTGAGACTCGTGGCTGAGTGGGGACTACAATTCGCACCTCCCAATAGTCTTGCCACAACACCATACTGGCTCTCCTGCTGGCATTTTTAAGGCTTTTGGAGGTGCTTTTGCAACCCTCAAAAAAGCCTGGTATTTTCATCTTGTTTCTCAAGGATCATGTTTTGTGCCTCAGAGCTCTCAATAAAAGACAACCAAAAAACCCCAGCAAATACATTGATCATTACATGTTCGCATTAAGCTCATTGCAATGTTTATTCTGCCATTTGCCGAGAACCTGACAAACCAATTTGGAAAGCAGGAAAAGAATAACCAAGAATAAAATTGCCAAACTTGGATCAGAGGCAAAGAAGGAAGTGAATTGTTTATGTGCTTTTTTTTAAAGTGAGATGCAGAAATATGGCTTAGCTGTTTAGTTTTTAAACTATAGCTAGACAGTTCCTCAGCTGAGGATTTCCAGAATTAATCCGTTTTGGATGCAAAGAAGAAAGAAGCTGTCTATAGACATGGGCTTTTGCTTTTTGAGAGGTATAGCTCAATTTCTCTGCATCTTCTACAGGGCGATTCTATGACTATTTCCTCTTGAGTAACTCCCAGTTTTCAGTGGTGCTTACTCCCTTTCAAACATGTGCAAAACAAGGGATTTAGGATTGCAATATCCTAAATTTCAGGGTGTGAATTTGGGGGGGAGGGCATATTTAGGACTAAATTTGCTGAAGCGGTTACATTACAATTCTGTCCATATTGACCTTTTCCACTCAATCCCGTTAATTTTCCATCACTTTTACCCGTTTGAAATTATGCTTTGTTTCATGCTGCCTGCAAACAAAACTTTATAAAAGCAGGATAAAGAATACCAAGGCAATGAACGCATTTCTTTTTACCACTGAAAAGCAAAACATATTCAATAAGCTTGCTACAAAACGCGATGCATCATTGCTACAATTTCCCCCCTTACGCTGTTATTTGGGTTTCGACGCTACATTGTTTTCAAGCTGACCTTGTAATGTACCAGACAGAATGCACAGTACAAATATTTTTAAATAAATAAAATCACAATAATCGCCATCATCATCTAGATGTCATTCGTGCTGTCTTTGTATGCAATCTCTTTCTTCGGTAAACAACTTTTGCACTGCCACCGAACAAGGCCAACCACGTATTGTTTGGTTTGGTTTTTCCAGAAACTCCGCCATGAGGACTAACTCCCAAGTCAACAAGCGCAAAACCCACCCTTTCACAAGATTAAGGTGGGCCTCGGTGTCAAAAGACTTCTAATATAATAAGAATTAACTGCATGGGCAAACTTACTTCTTGAGGGGAAAAAGTTTCACTCAGCAGGAGCTTCAAGGAGGAGTTTGAACCCTTAATTAAGTGCAGGGTGTTCTTGAGCAGCCACGCAGGATCAGGACCCTTCACGCTGCATCCGGTCATTGCACTTTAAGAAATTTGGGCTTTTCTCGCCATTTAATTTTTCCTGATGATACTTTTCTCTCCTCTCTCGCTCTCTCTCTCCCTTTCCTGGAATGAGCACGTGCTCAGAAAGGATTCTGGGGAATGTAGTTTTGTACAGCTGGGAAGGCTCAACTTCTCTCTGGTGCGGAACAGCTGCCTACTCCACAAAGAGCCCCTGACTAGCTGTCATCTTCCCTGTGGTGAAGATTTCTGCAGCACCACGAAGCTTGCACATACCTTCTTGCAAAACTGAGAAGAATTACAAAAGCCACCAGCTTTAGCCTGCCCTGGAAAGCTGCATTTTGAAAAGGCAGTCTTGAAAAGATGGCTTGTATTTTGGAGTCAGGTTTCTGGTTTCATTCTGGCCTAAGGAATGATGCTTCCACAAAGATCAGACCAGAAGACTTTCTTTCCGTCCGTCAGGCGAAACCAAATACCCTGCCCTTTGTCAGAAAAGCCAAGGTTGGAAGATTGTCTGTGTCCTGATCCGGTTTCCTTTCCGAGCCCGGGGTTCAATTCCCTTGAATAATCCATGAGTGTAGTATTATTCTCATCTCCAAAAAGGCAAAGAAGAAAAAAAGCAAAAACGCCACAGGCCAGAATCAGGAGGAGCTGCAGCTCCTTGGTGGTGTTCCCAGAGTCCATCTAAATATCAAAAATCTTGCAGCATTCAAGGTGTGACGATACAAATGGTACCATTGCAGAGATGCTTAAATAAAAATTAATCATTTCCCCCTTCCTTCTCTTCCTACCTGGGATGAAACCATAGAACCTTAGAGGAGAACAAGGCCTCTGAAGTCATCAGCGGTGAGGGAAACTGAGTAGGATCCTCATTCATTGCAGCATGCTGGTTTTGAGCTGCATAGGAGCTGTCTGCAGTGCTTCAGCCCACCCCCAAAATAGGTTCACCACCATGGATAGATCCTATAAAGTACAACAGAAAAGCTGGAGACGCACCGGCTTCTCCTGCATCATGCCCCTGCCCAATGCGGGGCCAAAAATGCAGGGCCTGGTTACCTGAAGGAGCGTCTCCCTCTTCCCCTTAAGATGTGGGGCAGATGCTCTTCTCCAGGTGCCCCCCCCCCACTAAGGAGATTAGGAGGGTGGCTACCCAGGGAAGGGCCTTCTCTGCGGCGCCCCGATGGTGGAATTCGCTCCCCAGAGAGGTTCGCCGAGCACCATCACTTTATTCTTTTCGGCGCCAGGTCAAAAACTTTTTATTTTCCCGATGTTTTAAGACCTGACTGTTTTAATTGAGGTTTTATTATTAGCTAAACTTTGGGATGCTGTGTTTTTTATTTATTTTCCTTACATTTTGTATTGTTAAACTGTCCCAAGACTTCAGTAATGGGATGGTCTACAAAAGGTTTAAATAAATAATTAAGCCCTAAATGGGCTGCATTGGGGTGGTCCAGGCTTCTTCTTTTAATATGGTATTTCTGCAAACTTTAATTGGGCATTTTTGCAAAAAAACAAACAAACAAAAAACTCTCATTTTTTAATAGCCCATGGAGCTCAAACCCTTTTGAGACTTGAAACTCAATCGCCTTGTGTTGGGTATTAGATGGAGAAACTCAATTCCAAAGGGGCTGCTGGCACTGTTTTCAGGAAATGTCTTTAAATCCACCCATCCCAAGACAGATAAGAATATTGTGGGATATAACTAGATGGGTGCAAGAAACAGTGAAGAAAGCTGACAGGAAGAAGGTGGCAGCGACTGTGAAATGTCACTTGTGACTACCCTGGACGGACCGGGGGAGGTGGGGGTCCTGGATCAAAGCAAGCCAGAACTTTCCCTGGAAGTAAAAGTAAGAAAACTGAGGCTGTCCTACTTCAGACACATCCCAAAAGGGAAAACTCCCTGGAGAAGACAATGGTGCAAGAGCAAGTTGAGGGCAGAAGATGAAAGGAAAAACCAAATACAGAATCACAGAATAGTGGAGTTGGAAGGAGCCATGTAGGCCATCGAGTCCAACCCACTGCTGTTGCAGGACACCAAGTTGTTGTTGTTGTTATTAAAAACTTTTGTATGCTGTCACCACATGCCTTGACATCTCAGGATGGCTCACAGTACATACAATTAAAATACAATAAAATGATCTTTATAAATAACAAGTTCAATAAAAGATCACATAAGGACAAAAAACAGAAAACAAAGAGACTACACCAAGTCACACCATGCCCAGTTCCATCTTGAATGTCCCCAGTGTGGGAGAGCCCCCACCGCTCCAGGCAGCTGGTCCCACTGTCCTATCGCTCTGACCATGAGGAAGCTTTTCCTGATATCTAGCCTGAATCTGGCTTGCTGCAGCTGGACTTGATCATTCCGTGTCCTACATTCTTTTATCAGTGAGAAGAAACCTCGGCCTTCCTCTTTGTGACAGCCTTAAATCCTCTAAATTTGAAGGATTTATAGAGGGATCTCATGTCCCCCCTCAGTCTTCTCTTCTAAGGCTGAACAGGAAGGGCAAGTGCCAAGTTCTCTCAGTCTCTCCTCATAGGGCTTTCTTAGAATCACAGAATAGTGGAGTTGGAAGGGGCTCTGAAGGCCATCAAGTCCAACCCACTGCTGGTGCAGGACACCAAGTCACACCATCCCATTCAGGTGGCTGCCCAGTTTCTCCTTAATGTCCCCAGTGTGGGAGAGCCCCCCACCTCTCCAGGCAGCTGGTCCCACTGTCCTATCGCTCTGACCTTGAAGAAGCTTTTCCTGATATCTAGCCTGAATCTGGCTTGCTGCAGCTGGACTTGATTATTCCATGCCGTACATTCTGTTATCAGTGAGAAGAAACCTTGACCTTCCTCTCTGTGATAGCCTTTGAAGGAGTTATAGAGGGATGTCATGACCCCCCTCAGACTTCTCAAGGCTGAACAGGAAGGGCAAGTGCCAAGTTCTCTCAGTCTCTCCTCATAGGGCTTTCTTAGAATCACAGAATAGTGGAGTTGGAAGGGGCCATGAAGGCCATCAGGTCCACCCCCTGCTGTTGCAGGACACCAAGTCACACCACCCCACTCAGGTGGCTGTCCAGGTTCTTTTTGAAAGTCTCCAAACCCTGGATAGTTTTTGTTGCCCTCCTCTGGGCCCTTTCCAAGTTAAAGGGTCTTTAACTTAAATCTTTCTTAAATCTTGGTGCCCAGAACAGGACACAGTATTCCAGGTGAGGTCTGACTAGTGAGGAGTATAGAGGAACTACTACTACTAGAGAATTGGAAGTAATGCCTCTGTTAAATATGAGACGGATGGACTCAGTTAAGGAAGCCCATGGCCCTGAACCAAGAAGAGCAGAGCTGGGCAGGACCTTTGGAGGGCGTTCATGCATAAATCAGAGACAATGGCACATCACAACAACACCTCACAGGGATGCAGTGAGAGGGGGACCAGGTGAGTTGTCCTGAAAGGCAGGACCTAGCCTAATCCTAAATAAAATGAAAGCGGTGCCTTTGAGCCAGTCCTTGAATCTCCCCTGGCCTACCTCACAGGGGGATTGTGAAGATGAAGGGCCACATGGGCTCCATAGCAGGGGAGCATAAATGCAATTTATTTATTTTATTTATTAAAACATCTATATGCCGCCATTTGCTGCAGCCTCAGGACAGCTTACAAAAATGTCAATATAAATAACAATATAATAATACAAATCTCAATAAAAACAATCAATAAACAATACACAATACAATAAGTAATCAATAAAGTAAATCAAATCATACAAATCAAAAGCGACTGTTAAAAACCATTAAAAATACCAGTTTTTTTATTTCATTTTTCATTTTTAAAATACTGTTTCAATAAAAAGGCTTTTAACCCTGGCCGAAAAGAATATAAACTCGGCGCCAGGCCAGGCAACGAATGAATAACTTTTATCGATGGACAGAGTCGTGATTATTGATCGGGTCCTTGGTCCCGGGGCACGGACGGACGCCGGCCTCGCCCGCGGGCCCCGCGCAATGAAAGACGCGCAGCCCCTCCTGCAGGACGCGCGGCGGCCCGACACCCGGGAGCGCGGCGAGAACTACGCTTCCCAGGTTGCCCCGCGGCGCGGCGCATGCGCGGGGCGCCCGGGCCGGCGAGCGGAGCGCAGCGCAGCGCAGCAGGCGGCATGGCTTGGCGGGCGCTGCGGCTGCTTCCGCGCGGCGTGGCCGCCCTCCCCGGGCCGTCGCCGGCGGGCAGGAGCTACGCCAAGAAGGCCGGTAAGCCCGCGCCGCCCCCGGCGCAGAAGCGGCCCCCGCCCCGCCCCGCCGCAGGTCCCATCAGCCCCAGCCACCTGGGCAGGGAAGGCTCGCTGCGGAGCCCGTGCCGGCCACGCCGCCTTGGGGGGGGCGCGAAGACGCGCAGGCCTTCCGCTTTTGCCCCCGAGTGGGCGGGGGGCGGCAAAAGAACCGTGCAAGCATTACGAAAGAGCTGGTGCAGGAGCAGTTTCGTGCGCAGGAAGCGGCTAGTCCTCATGGTTGTAACCTCATGCCCAGGAGTGTTGCCTGTTGCGTCACGACGTGCTTCCTGTACCTGGAGTGTTTTCTCTCTGTGGGATCCTTTCCGAATCCGCAATTCCTGGGCATTTAACCCTGGGAAGGAGGGTAGATGATTCCACCCCGAGCCTCTCCCCCCTCCCCCGGTATGATAGAAGAAACCTGGTGTTTTGCCTCCAGCGCGCCCCTCCCATCCTTGCTCATCTTAGAAATGTACCTTGTGATGTAGGCTTTCTGGGGGAAAAAATCGAAGTGGAATAATGGTCTGTGTAAAATTTGCCCAGGGAAATTTGCATTGGAAAAATTTCCTCTGTCCTTGAGTGCTTACCATGTTTCTTTGACTTGTCTATAACACAGAATAATGCTTTATTTGAGTTGGGAAATTAAAGCGCATTTAATGGGGTTTAAATGTTGTGTGTGTGTGTGTGTGTGTGTGTGTGTGTATGAGGCTTCGGCAAATGGAGCAGCATAGAAATTTTCTAAATACGTAAATAAATAAAAAACATTCATACATGCGTGTGTGTGTATCCCAATAATTTTTTGTGGGGGGGAGGGAATTGTATGGTTATAAAGACAGTAGCACATACTTCTCTGGGTTTTCATTTAAGAAAAACTGAGAAGTGCTTTGAACCATTGGCATGCTAAAGATGTAGTTCTTTACTTGTTGTGTCCACCACGTACTCTTTGTATCTACACTTTACACTTTGCACATGCTCCATTGTGCATAGAAACAAGGATTTCTCTCTTTTTGCAGTGATGAAGATGAAAGGAAAAGGGACACCTGCTGAAGCCCCCAAGGGTCCCGATGTATGCAAGGACCCCGTGTTGCTTACCACCCACGCCATGGGGGTAAACATCTACAAGGAGGGCCCAGAAGTGGCGCTGAAGCCGGACTCGGAATACCCTGAATGGTGAGAGGCCACGGCAGTTGGGCTTGGCTGTCCAAGGGATAGAAAGGCCCTCTGGCTGGAGCCTGGGATGGAGAGGCAAAATGTCTTGGATTCCGTTCCTGCTCTGGTTGGTAAATACGGTACTCTGTGTGCGCGTATCCCAGCATTCTGTGCAAATGCAGGGAAAGAGTGTAGGTCATGGGTCCTCAGACTACAGCCCGCAGGCCGGAAACCGCCCGCCAGTGTCATTTACCCAGCCTGCCTCAGAGCTTTTGGACTCGCTCAGAGAAAACAATCTCCAAACGAGTCTGAAAGCTCTGAGCCGGCACAAGCGTACTCTGAAACGCTTTCAGTGTCGGAGACTAGCAGAGAGCTGGCGCACGCGCCAAATTGTGACAGCTCCCTTCGGTGCGCATGCGCCGGCTCTCTGCTAGCTCTGGCTTGCTCCTGCTGCTGTGCTGGTCTTGCCGGCGTGAATGGCGCACGGGCCGGCTCTTCCCCGTTGCACGCATGCGTTGGCTCTGAATACGGAAGAGAGGAGCGAATGTGGAACCGGACATTGCCCATCTCATTGGCCAAAAGCAGGCCCACACTTCCCACTGAAATACTAATAAGTTTATCTTGATTACAGTTGCTCTTCATTTTAAATATGGTATTGTTTTTCCTGTTTTTTTGCAGTACAAATAAGATACGTACAGTGTGCATAGGAATTTGTTCTTTTTTTTTTCCAAACTACAGTCCAGCCCCCAACAGTCTGAGGGACAGTGAACTGGCCCCCTGTTTAAAAAGTTTGAGAACCCCTGATGTAGGGTCTGATGCCACACCAATGCAGCTGTCTGGGAGTGTTGCATTTCTTTTTTAACAAATCAAGTTTCTAGTCCTCGTGACTGCAAAGAAAGATGGGAATGTATAGTGGGGTAGTGCCTGGCAGAATCCCAGAAATTGCATCTCTGGGAGATGCTTTGGCTGAGGAATGGGATAAAAATACTTTAAAGGATTCTTCTCTAGGCATGCTTGTAGAGAGTAAAATATCCCAGACTGTTGGGAGTTTTAGGGCTCTTCCTGTCCAAACATGCCTAAGATTGCACCCTAAATAGAGAAGTACATTCCAAGGGTGCCTTCTTAGAAATAGGCTCTGTCTCTGGCTGCAGTACCTCTGGGGGATCTCCTCTGGACCTGTGGTTTTAAGCACAGCCATGTGGTTTCCGCATCATGTTTTAAATGAATGCAAGGCTACCATTGTGCAAGACAGCTTCCTGTTTTCTTTCGGATCTGGCCTGTGGCTGAACCTCCCTGCTGCGAAACTCCCAATGCCACGGAAGAGGGACATCCCTTTTGAAAAACCAGGTTTGTATTCTGGGGTGCACCTAGAACCCTTGCTGGCACTGGTTCCCCCAGTGGTCAAGGCAGCCCAGGTTGCCTCCGGCCAGCTTTTGCGGGTTCGCCACCTGCGGCGTCTCCAGGACAGGGATTGCGGGACAGGGATCTTACATTCCGACTCTGAAGGATGGATTACTGCAATTTGCAGCACCCAGAGCAGAGCCTTCTCCATGGTGACTCCCTCTCTGTGGAACTGCCTGCCTCTGCCTGCTGTTTTCTGCACTTCCCGAAAGCATTTTTACTTCAGGAAGCCTTCCTTGCCGGGGCAGCCATGAATTTATTCATACACTCTTTGTGCTTAGTGTTGTTTTGCCTCTTTCAGTGCTGAAAGTGTGTGTTGTAAATCATTTTAAAGCCCACATGTTTTTAGCAGATAAAGCTAAAACAAGGTATCAAAATATGGATGTTGTTGTCAGTTTTGAGGTTGTGTCCGACCCATCGCGACCCCATGGACAGCATTCCTCCAGGACTTCCTGTCCTCCACCATCCCCCGGAGTCCACCTAAGCTCACACCGACTGTTTCAGTGACCCCATCCAGCCACCCCATCCTCTGCCGTCCCCTTCTTCTTTTGCCCTCCATCGTCCCCAGCATCAGGCTCTTCTCCAGGGAGTCCTTCCTTCTTATTAGGTGGCCAAAGTATCTGAGTTTCATCTTCAGTATCTGGCCTTCAAAGAGCAGTCAGGGTTGATCTCCTCTAGGACTGACCGGTTTGATCGCCTTGCGGTCCAAGGGACTCGCAGGAGTCTCCTCCAGCGCCACAGTCCAAAGGCCTCAATCCTTCGGCGCTCAGCCTTTGTTATGATCTGACTCGGCCATACATTGTTGTTGTTTGTTGCAAAGTTGTGCCCGACCCATCACAACCCCACGGACAACCCTCCTCCAGGCCTCCCTGCCCTCCACCATCCCCCGGAGTCCACTCAAGCTCACACCAACTGCTTCAGTGACCCCATCCAGCCACCTCCTCCTCTGCCGTCCCCTTCTTCTCTTGCAGTCAATTGTTCCCAGCTTCAGGGTCTTCTCCAGGGAGTCCTTCCTTCTCATTAGGTGGCCTAAGTATTTGAGTTTCATTTTCAGGAACTGGCCTTCCAAAGAGCAGTCAGGGTTGATCTGTGGATATGGATAGGAAATCAATATGGATAGGAAATCATAAAAAATAATGAAATCTGACCCTATTTAAATCTCTGAGCCCCCTAAGACACTTGGGGGCTTCCCCAGCACCTTGCTGCTTTCCTAATTTTTTCCTTCTTTCTGTCCCCTCTCCACACTTTCCAGGCTTTTCCAGATGTATATTGGTCCCCCCAAGAAGTTGAACGAACTAGATCCGGAGACCCACAAATACTGGCGTACGCTGCGGAAGATTAATCTCAAGCAGCGGAACAGGGTGGGCAAAATCTGGGCACTTTGATGCAGAGCTGGAATGGAGATGCTTCCCGGAAACTGGACTGTTTTTGTATTCTTACACTTTGTGAATGGTGGAAATCGACCAATAAAGGGCTTTGAGCGTTTCTCGCATCTTTTCTTGCGTTAAACCTGAACAGATCAATTCCAGCGGGGGCAGGCTACAAGTCAGAGAGAGTATCTGGTATGGGGCAGATCTATTTCTCCATCATCCATAAAAGGAGGCTGAAGGAGGCCATCCCAGGAAGCTGATGGGTGGGGGAATCAAGAAAGAGGAAAGGAGGGGGCTTCTTCACCCAGCACTGAGTTGAATTGTGGAATTCACTCCGTGAAATTTTATTTATTTATTTATTTATTTATTATTTATTAAAACATTTTTATGCCACCCCATTCGCTGAAGCCTCGGGGCGGCTTACAACAATAAAAAGTAATTACAATATAAATTACAATAAATATAAACATTAAATTAAAAATACAATATAAATAAGCCGCCCTGGCCAGATAAAATCTAGTAATACTAACAGTTAAAATGCCGCTTAAATAAAAAGGTCTTCGCCTGGCGCCGAAAAACAAATAACGACAAATTCACTTTTGCTAGCACTTTGCAGTTGGAGGTGGGGCCAAAGGCAAAAGGGGTGGAATTAAAATATTAATTTTATATTGTTATTTTTGTATTGTATTTTATTGTGTTGTAAGCCGCCCCGAGGCTTCAGCAAGGGGCGGCATAGAAATGTTATAATAATAATAGTAATAATAATAATAAAAAGTTGGAGCCAGCTGTATTTCAGCCTTTTGCAATGGGGAAACAACTTCATACACACTGAGAAGGCCCATCAGGATCCGTGGCTGAAGGGATATGGCTTCAGGTTCTGCAGCTGCCAGGCAGACCAAGTTTGCCTTCCAGACCAGATGTTTTGCGACCTTCCCGAGAGGCCCAATTGGTGGGATGCTTAGTGCGGTGTCAGGACCACAGGGCAACCTTGTCAATGCAGGGCAGCCCATAGTAATGTGAGAAGCGGACTTGTCCAAAGAGTTCTGCTTCTGAGCTTGCTTTCCTCGTTTAATTCTGTGTAGCTCGAGGCAGAGCTGCCTGGAGAAAACAGAGGCAAATAAAAGCCTTTATTTATGTTTCTGGGGCAGCAGTGTGCTTCTGCTCTCATGCACCAGCCACGAAACAAGTTACTAGGGAGAAGTTTGTGCTGCAAAGCTGCCATTGCACACCTAGCTACTTGAGAGTAAGCCCCACTGAACACTATAGGGCTGACTCATTATTTACTTATTTAGGATATTTTTATTTATTTATTTATGGATTTCTATCCTGCCTTTTTCCTACAAAGGGCTCAAGGCAGCTTACATCTCCTCCTCTATCCTATCCCCACAACAACAACCCTGTGAGGTAGGCTGGGCTGAGAGTCTGTGACTGGCCCAGAGTCACCCAGTTGGCTCCATGGCTGAGTGGGGACTCGAACCCAGGTCCCATGCTATACGAACCAATTGTATCAGGATGGCTTACAAGATAATATAAATAATAAATAGAAACAATGGACTACGATAAGATAAAATGCAACTGAGGATTTTAATATTAATAAACCCAGATTAAAGTTATTTAAGCTTTAAAATGTTGGGCAAATAAAAAGGTTTTACCTGGCACTGAAAAGCATATAAAGTCAGCGCCAGGCAAAGCATCCACAGTGGGGCGCCACAGCAGAGAAGACCCTCCTAAGCTCCTTCAAGGAGGAGACTTTGCTTCCTTCCAATCATACTGTGTAACGCATTATAGAACAAAGACGAGAGATTTCAAATATTACTACCAATAATAATAGTAATCCGATTTTTTTACGGAATGCAAAAAGGAATCCGTCGGTCTCGTTCTTCGACCGCGGATTTGTCACTCTATTTCTCTATATCGGTTCCCTCCCTTTCCTGCCCGCTCGCCTGGAAACGGAGCAAGAGGAATCATAGAGCTCTCAAGTGGGCTGTGCAGAGCGGCGCCTCCGCGCTTGCTCCGCCCCTAGCCACGTTAGGAGGCAAGCCGGAAGTGAGTGTCCGAAGGCGGAAGCGCTGGCGAGGAGGGGTGTTGCCCAATGAGGGGCGTGGCCAACAAAGGGAGGGAATCAGGTGGTGAGAGGAGGAGGAGGAGGAGGAGGGAGGAGGAAAAGCAGGTGAGAAAAGAAAGGGGGGTTATTTGGGGAGGGTTGAAGGTTGGGGGGCTATGGATGGGGGAAATTAGGGGGCTGAAGCCTTCTTGGGGGGGTTATGAATGAGGAGGAGGGAAGACACAGGCAATAGCTGCCTTTGAGGGAGGGGACAAGAGCCCCTGTTGGGACACAGAAAGGTAGGGAGATTTGGGGGTCTTAGAAACGCGGGGAGGGGACTCCTTGTGCTGGAGGAAAGGAAGGCATTGGGAGGGATAAACGGGGGAACGTTTTTGGGGGATAAGGCTGCGCTCCGTTTCTGTTGGG